AAATATACATTAAAACAATTGAATAAATAAAATGTTGTTTAAAACTATTTTCACACTGCACAGTCCCATTAGTCCGGTCATATATTCCCGCGGCTCCTGAAGACACGACCCGGGTCTTAATGTTCATCTAAAATTGTTCCGAAAGTTTCTTCTGTGATTGTGGCGTCCTCTGTAACGATAGTTTTGGTTCGGATGATTATCTTCTCTTGTATTATTTCGAAAATTGTCCAATTCGTCTTCTAGTTTAGTGATTCGATCCCGCATATGTTCTTTGTCGCGTTGTAATTGGTATTGCTGGTCGATTGCTTCGCATCTTTGATCGTAAATCCGAAAATTAGCTTCTTCAAGATCAGTAATGCGTTCCCGTAATTTTTCCAAATCTTTTTTGTCATCTGCACCTTGTTTTTGAAGTTTTTCTAGATTGCTAACACCACTGGTATGCTTTTGATTTAACTCTTTAAACTTCTTCTCATAGTGTACACTTTTGATTTTAAGTTTTACTCTCTCTGAATTCACTCGGTCGTGCCTGAGTCTAACGTTATCTATAAATTCCCTATTATAATCTAAGGTTGGAAAGAAGTCCATCAGTTCAATAGTATTGAGTTCCGCACAAGGAAAAATTGACATAGCTTTCTGTTCTTTGAATTTTCTCATTCTTTCTGCGTCACGACGTAACTTGGATTTCGATTTAACCTTAACAACTTTCACGTCCGGTTGTCTGTGAAAGTTACACATTCTGGCGAAATGTCCAAAATTTCTGCACTTATAGCAAAATGACGTTTTTGCTATACATTGTCTAAAATGAAATTGATTGTTCACAGTCTTTCCACAAAACTTACATAGGTAGTTGTCCATATGTTGAAAATTTCTTGTCTGAAAGGTAGTTCCATGATCAGACATCTGGTATCTCCAGTCTCGGCCAAAATTTCTGGTTCTCCGCGTATCCATTTTTCTGTTTGCTGGGGGGGTCAGCTTCACAGGTAGAGCAAGGTATCCGATAGATGCGTTGCCCGGATGTTCTTACACCAGATATAGCCGGGTAAAATGGCGTTCCGGCTAAATGGAAATCAAGAAGGAATATTTCGCTCCTTAAACTTATATTTTAGCAGTCCGGCAAGACCGAACAACAAACTTCAAACTAAATGTAAAGTAACATACAAACAATAACAATATATATAAGCACAAGCAATTAAAGGATTAAGAAGATTAACATATGCCAAATAGAAATAACAATAGTTTAGAAGAGTAATTGATGTCCGACACGTATAAGTAAATTATTGTCTAAACTGTTACAGAGAATAAATAATTAAATGAATAGAGTAAATGAATTTAAGTCCTTTGTCCAAGATTATGACACATAATCCGTGTAAAACACTTATGCCTAAATTGACGACAAAGTTCAGAATAATAAAATAAATGCAAAACCTAAATATACATTAAAACAATTGAATAAATAAAATGTTGTTTAAAACTATTTTCACACTGCACAGTCCCAATAGTCCGGTCATAACTGTGTCGGTCTAGTTCTTTTCAAAGAAGGTGTCATATTCATCTAACACCAACATGTTCTCGTCCTGCTTATGCATTCAACTTGCCACTGGACGTTTAACAGCAATTACTTCATCGTTTTTAATAAAATTATATTTTTTTCAGAGGACACTGATGACATTACTGGGCCATATTTATCTCTTTTCCCTAAGTGAAAGTTTTATGTTGGGACCTTGCACTCTATTTTTGTTAGATTGATGATGTCAATTCTAATTATTAGGTAACAAAATAGCTTATGCTTATGTAAAAATGTCATTGTAGATATTTGGGTTTTTAAATCAGTCTATAGACCTTTCAGTCTGAGCGCTCATAAAAATTAAAAGAAGACAACATTGCGTCCATGTGTTTAAAATTTAAATAACAACTTCATAATTAAAAAAAATATTGATATTTGATTTATAAATAACCTAACATTATGGATATGGTCACTCTAGGTATGGTTTATTACATATACGTTATATTAGTTAATCAAAAATGCATTTTAATGATGATTTATTCAACAATTTATATTTACATAAATAAAATTGATATGAACTACTAGATACTTCAAAAAATAATGTAGGACAATCAGAACTCTAAAATTTTAAAAAGTGGGACAATCGGGAAAAAACCCCTGACTTGGGACAGGCACATACAGAATGTGGCAGGGTTAAACTAGTTTATTGGCGCCAAACCCTCCCCCTAACCTGGGACAGTGGCACAACATAAAAACAAAATAGGTTTTCCCAAATGGTCACGTCGTTTTACCTCATCAAGTAATGTGATAACCACATCAAATTGACAGAACCACATCAAAGAATGACAGAACCACATCAATTACTGTAAAATCGTCAAATTTTGAAACATCATTATGTAATGTTAAAGCCATATATAAAGAATTGGCAAATCATCATTACGAAATAACAAAACCACATCATGTAATGAAACAACTATATTACGTAAACCCACATGCACATCAAGTAATGTTAAAACCACATTGTCTAATGACACAACCACATTAAATAATGGTGAAATCACATCGAATAATGACAAAACCCTATTAAGTAATGACAAAACTTTATCAAGTCAATACGAAACCATATCATGTAATATCGAAATACTATTAAGTAATGACTATTCCATATTGAGTTATATCAAAACATCAATAAGAAATGTCAAAACCATATTATATAAAGACAAAATATCATTAAGTAATTATAAAACCACATAAAGTAATGCCAGAGTACCACATAAGACAGCTGTGGTGTTCCATAGGATTATAGAGATCGAGTATAGCGAATATTCGGTTAACTATAACAGTAGACACATTAGACACATAAAATTGCAAATGCTGTTAGATTTTGTAAAGTGACAATAAGAAAAAGATGGGATACAAATTCAGCTTACATGAGCTATGAAATTTTGATGTTTTGTTTGTGTGTGGGGTGGAGGTTTAGGGCGAGAGGTAGTTGCTTGATTTCTTATAAGAATGGTTTTATATTTCTACAATCGTTCTATAGACGAAGCTATTTGAAATTGTGGTAATCTCTTTAAAATTTAAACATTTCGGATCTTTAGGTTCATTTCTAATTGGGTTTTAGAGTTTTCATCTCTTTATATTTAAACTGTACACCTTCTTTCTGTGCAAAGTAAAGTTTCATCACTTTCAGTTTTCATACGCCTGTTTACGGGACGTATTATGGTATACCGTTGACCGTCTGTCCGTCCGTCCGTCCGTCCGTCGTCAACATGTCGGACACTAACTCAAAAACGCTTTAACCAATATGCATGAAACTTTGGTGAATTGTTTATATCTATTGACGTGAGCTCCCTTTCGTTTTTTATAAATTACGGATTTACCGTTTCCGAGTTTTGGGGTTTTATTCATTAAAAAAGGGGGTATTTTCCAGTTTGTGGACAATAACTCAAAAATGCTTTCAGCATTTTTTATGAAACTTTGGTGATTTGTTTATATCTATTCAGTATTGATGTAAGCTCCCTTTAGAATTTTATAAATTTTACATTTTACATTTATACTGTACCGTTTCCGAGTTTTGGGGTTTTATTCATTAAAAAAGGGGGTAATTTCCAGTTTTTGGACAATAACTCATAAACAATTTCACCAATTTGCAAGAAACTTTGGTGAATTGTTTATTTCTATCGACATGAGCTCCCTTTTGATTTTTTTAAATTTTAGACTATATGTTTCCGATTTATGGGTTTTATTCATTACAAAAAGGGGGATTTTCCAGTTTTCGGACAATAACTCAAAAATGCTTTCAGCATTTTTTAATGAAACTTTGGTAAATTGTTTATATCTATTGTTGTTAGCTCCCTTTTGATTTTTATAAATTTAAGATTTAACCTTTCCGAGTTATAAGATTTTATTCATAAAAAAAGGGTTGATTTTCAAGTTTTTGGACAATATCCTTAAAGTGCTTAGAGCAGTTTTCATTAAACTTTGATGACTGATTTATATCTATTAAGACAACCTCCCTTTAGTTTTTTTTTATAAATTTCTGATATAACATTGAGAAGTTATTGTTTGTTTATAGTCTGGCAACAGATTTACTTAGTATTGTGCAACAGCACAGTGTATTGCACAACAGCAAGAAATCTTTAATTAAATATAAATTCAATTCATATAACCAATTTCAAGTTCTTTGACTACATTTACTCAGAAACCTATAATATGTCAAATATTTGATTACAATCCAAATTCAGACCTGTATCAAGCTTGAATATTGTGTCCATTTTTGCCCCAACTGTTCAGGGTTGGACCTCTGCGGGCATATCCAGCTGCGCTCAGCGAAGCAGTTTATTAATTAATGTTGCCAAATTTCAGAATAAGAATGGAGAGAATCTTGATATTTCGACGCAATATAGAATTCCAAAGGTTTCAATTAGAGGCCAGGTAAAACAATTAAAACCTTAGTATCCACAACAATGCAAATAAACACTTCAGGAGAGATTACATAATCATGAGCTTATAACTATAAAAAGGTTAACACATTATATAAAACAAGCAGCCAAATGATCAATTATATGTATTATAATATTTATGTATTTTGACAATGAAAATGGAAATCACGGCTTTAATCTCTGCAAAAATACGTTATTGTAGTTGTGTTTGTGTGTGCTTCTTTGTTATACGTAATGCACATCATTTCAACTGAATATTTGTATAGCGATTCAAAATTTAAAAAGAACGTGTCTACCTAGATTACAAATATGTTTACTGTATTTTATTACCTGTTAGAAGTACGGACAGAATTATAATTTTTTAATTACTTTTTATAATTTGAATGCCTCTTAAATTATTCTTCAAAGTTATTCTGATAATTTGTATGGCCTAATCAATAACACGAAAACACTAATGTACATCATTCATCGAATTAATATCACGTGTTTTTTACATTTGTTGACCTTAACAACCACTCGATCATAAATACCTATGAACATATATATATACTTCTACCCTGTTTATTTATTCATGCATGAACGTATCCAGTCATTGTGACCAACAAATAAAGATGACTGTTATATTTCATTATTTGGAGATTTAATATTATATAATGTATTGCTTATTGCTTAGTATCTAAAAGGTAAGGCGTTAATTATCTTTTTATTCAATTATTGTTTGCGTAAATACACTAATTCAAAATAAATCAATATCTCCGATCTAAATAATGTCCACCTTGCAGTTATACGTTAAATACATGTAAAGGACTTACGGAGAAGTCAAATATTTTGGTTTTTGTCCTAGGGTGTTTGTATTAATATATTTGTTGGTATACATCTGAACGTTTGAAAACACGTCAATACTTAAAGCATGTGAATTATTTTGAAAAATTATCGGGTGAATATTTGTAGCCTTTAATAAACACTCGTCACTACACGTGGAAGACAAATTTTAATTGTTCTGACAGTTTACATTTTCACGGTGTCGACTGCAATAACCTTATTTTCTTTCATTTGTGTTTCTTTAAATGACGAAAACGTAGTCGAAATATGACAGGAAATACCTCTTTTTCCCCGGGGATAAAACCTAGCACCCCCTCCCCATTTTTGACAATTTGATTGAACGTTCCACCCTTTTCTAACACCATTTCAAGTATAGATTATCAGAAACCTGCATTTAAAAAAATAGGGGAATAATAAAAACATATATTTAACATTAGATCTCATATGCATAATAGATATTCCAATATGACGAAAGAAGGAGGTTTATCAGATAGATATAAATGGAAGCAGCCGTCAATGTGTATTCCATTCGAGTGTTCTATGACTGACATCAAGACATCATTAGATTAATCGTCTAAGACTCCCAGTGTTTTTTCATGATATTGAACAGCGATTCCAAGTTTATGATAAGAATAGGATAATAGCCCTCTTGTATCTGTAGCTAGGTATCGAAAATGAACTCAGGAGAAAAACACGACTGACTATCCGGAAAAGGGGGAGTAGGGTATGAACTATTTGGTCTTTTAGTCGAGCAGGCATGAGACACTTACTCTTGATGCCCAGATTGATGGACAGTTTACTTTATTGTCTACCAGCCGGTTCAAATCCAATATGGTCCTTTACAGACGTGTTCCGTCCGGCATTAAGATCAGTGTTGGAGGTTGGAATATTTTTTTTTTAGGGGGGGTATAACTTTTGGGATGTGTTAGACATGTTATACGCAGTAAATTGACACCAGTGATTGAGAAAAGATAATAATTGATACCTGATATGAAAAAAAAAAAACCTGCTCTATACCACGTCAAAGAACCAGAACAGCAATCCTTTGGACGACTTCATTAATTTTGGTTCATTGGTGCATTGTTGAAAGGCTAAAATACTTACCTTACCCTTACTTTTCTAGTGGTTGTCAAAAATCATTTACCCACTTTTAAAATCCAGTACAACGGTGACCGAATGGTTTAAGTAATTAACTTACAGTCACCACTAGCCTGTCAACTCTGAGGATGTAACTACGTATGTCGACTACTATCTTAGATCGCCCATTTTCCTATCGAAGGCTACCTCCACTAATAAATACTGGCTGCAGAGATATAGCTAATGCAGCTGAAAGTTGCGTTAACAACCAACAAACATAAAATCAGTGGCGGATCCAGGGGGTGTAGAGGGCGTACCCCCCCCCCCCTTTTTAGTCGCCAAAAAATTCACGATTTATATGACTTTTTATAGCCTGAGATTGTCCAAAAACACTTTTGACTTGCTCCGCTCGGCGTTATATCTGCACTTTAATAAAATTACGCTCCCACTTTAACCTGGATCCTCCCCTGGAAATTTAAATTGAGCTCTATGATTAGGATTATCCAACCAGAACTATTACTATCTGCTTGCGACTAAGTTTTCTTTCTGGCAGTGATGTACATTTTAGCATTTCCACTGTCCCGAACGGGCTTGGCGTTGGTTCTTATACTTTCGAAACTGACATAGTATAATTGCGAGCGACAAAGCAATTCCTTTGATTAATGGATAAAGTATTTGATTTGAACAACATACCAAAGGCCATTTATTTCAACTTAAAAATGAATATGTAAAGAAAAAGGAATTTTTGTCTAAAATACTAAATTAGGACTACTATAAGATGAACAACGGGAGTAGTTTGTATTAATATTTTAAATATAAAAATAAGGAGATGTGGTATGATTGACAATGAGGTAACTATCCACCAAAGTTCAAATAAGCACTATATAGGCAACCGTACGACCTTCAACAATGAGAAAACCCCATACCATATATCCGGCTATAAAAGACCCCTTCATGAAAAACGTGAGACAATTCAAACGATAAAACTAAAGGCCTATAATTTATAAACAAAACAATTTACAAAAAACAAATATGAAAGACATGAACATACGACAACCACTGCACTACAGGCTGCTGACTTGGGACAGGCACATAAAGAATGTGGCGGGGTTAAGCATATGTGTGAGCGGTCAACCCTACCCTCACCTGGGACAGTGGTGTTACAGCACAACATAAGTGTATCTATACTATTAAATGAGAAGACCTCATTTTGTGTGTCGCTTCTCTTCCTTCCACAATAATTTAATCATCATGCCTTTGTGTCCTATAGGTACCATGCATAGTCGCATTTGTCATCCTCGCTTATGATTATTCCGTTTGGGTTATTTTGGGAGGAAAACGAAAATAAAGGCGTCCGGATATTGTTTCCGTCATCGGACGGACTTTTAAGTCATAGATAAGATTTCCGTTTAGGACTGTTTTAAATTAAACATAATGTTCATAGGTACTTGGGGACAGGACAATAATTTTCGCTTTTTTCTGTATACTATGAACATAAATATACTATAATAAAGTGTATTTGCTATTTACTATCAATTCCAAATTTACTATCAACGGCGGTCATATATTATATATAAGTATATGTCTGTTCGTAGTATACAGAAAAACGCGAAAATAATTGAAATTAATAGAAAAAATAACGGATTTTGAAAAAAGGGGGAGGGCTAAAAAAAATTGTCCTGTCCCCAAGTACCTATGACTTTTGATACCTTTCCTGAAATTCTCCAGTCATAGAATCTTTTACAAAAATTCATCCTACAACAGTTTACATACTTTCAACCACGCTCTAAATGCCCGCGATTTCGAGGGTGTGTCCTAGTAGTATATAAACAGAAGTAGACATATAAGGTTTCCGGTTTCCCGTGTTTAATAATCTGGTATATAATTTCTTTTAATATATGCTGTTATTCCATGTTTATCCATGTCTGTTTGTCTGTAGCTTAGTGTCCAATGGCATCCAATCTCTTTTCACTCGGTATCGCATGTCTATTTACTTTGATCTGGTCGCGTCTTTCCGCGTTTTCCGACAAAGGAAGATATGCAAATTACTAGACTTTTCAACACGGCCCGCGCATTAGACATAGAAAGGGAATACAATTTATCGCCTGTATATTCAATATTCTTGAATACACACGAAGCTGTAATATAGAACGATATAAGAGTCCTTTCATTTACTTTGACACTGTAGTGTATACACTCAATGACAAAAGAAATGCACCACCTCCATTTATTTTTTTGGATAAAAATTTCTATTGCATTTAACTTTTTAAAAAAAGTAAATGAAGTAAGTCCAAATTTTTAAACAACATTTCTGAAGTCATAAACATCAAATTCTGTGAAAATGATAATTTTTTAATTTTTTGACATCGCAAAAAACACATTTTTAACCAAAAAAACACAAAAAAATTAGTGAAAAATAAAGTGTGTATCTTTTCACCTGAAAACAGCGAAAATTACTTTGATTTTCATTTACTTAATCGAATCATTGTCTAATGACTTTGAAATTGACTTATCTCAGACTTTTTATTTTTGACTTTCGTGATTGAAATCTCCATTTTACCACTAAAATGAAAATTCAGTCTCTGTAAACTCTGCATGAATTTCAAGGTTATGCCTAAAATATAATAAATTTCTAAAAAAAAATGTGAAACTGCTATAAATGTTAAGATGTGGTGCGTTATATGTGTTGTTAAGTATACACGACACAACATTTTCTTATTTGACGACAATGTGCCTATATTGTCTATTAAAGTGTTATTATACATTCTGAATAACATGTCCACAGGGTCAGCTTTACACATACATTTGAAGAAGAAGAAACACGATATAAATGAATAAACATATATATATAGATAAACATAAATATGTATCAATATCTATTCACAAGACTCATGTAAACCGTCAACATTTATTAAAATATACATCCGTTATGCATATGCATATACATTTTCCATAACTTAAACATCATTCGGGGGAGGGGGAGATAGTGACGCCATTAAATTTTTTCGGATGTTCCTGTTATGTTCATTGTATTATTTATGTAAATTTTCATTTAAGTATTTGGCAAATGAACTGCAAACTAAAAATTCTTGAATAAAAGAGCAAATTAAACTGATAATGAGGGTGCGACCACAACAATTGCTGTGAGAGCAGCGAGGCGAAATATATTTTACAAGTTGTATGCCCAAAAAAAGGTTTGTTATACGCAGCTTAGAGGGGGCATGTCGGGTTCGACCCTGCCTGACTTTCCTCTGCAGATCATACAGAAAGTAATTTACATTAGGACTCATGTTGGAGATGCCATTTGAAAGAGAATATAAAACTTCTTGTGCAAATGTACACTTTTCTGTAAGAAAAAAGTCTTAAAGATATGATAAATAAGGTTTTTTCGGCTAGAGATTCATATGACACCACCACCCTTCGAAAAAAACATAATGACACCTTACAGTTTTTCTGCGGGGTGCCATATTGAAAGATGACGTCGTTCCATATCTAGGATCCACTGCCGTGTGCAACCAGGAAAAGTCTTTGAAAACAAAAAATGGTCTAAACAGAGTTATCAAAGTCGAAGTTGTACTTGTATCTGTATTGTATTATTGTCTATGTATTTTTCTTGTAATGTTCTGCTGTTGCAGTAAATGCGACTGTGCGTTTTCAAATAGAGTTTCAAAAAATTCCAAGATTTATATAAATAAGGCAACATTTTTTTAACTTGGGAAACGGAGGGAGGGGGGGGGGGGTAATTTATTTTTGTAATTTTTATGCGTGAGTTTGAAGAAAAATCTGTTTTGGAGATCTAGGTCGGATGGAGGGAACGGCCCTTTCCGGTTAATGGTTAAATTGGCCCATTTGAATACTATCACCGTTTTCTTTTATGCAAAAAAAAATATTTAACCAAAAGTATGATATATGAACTTATTATGATAACCTCTGTACATATTAAATGAATAAAATTCCATCCTGTTTTTAATATAAGAAATATCTTGTGAAGCTGATAAAAATATTTTTATTGGCAATCTCCCTCGTACTTACTATTCAGCCAAACGTAACTGACACTTACATATGACCAGCGGTAATATGAATACATTCCACATTTTTATTTATTAGTGTTGAAAAACAAGTTACATACACAATCTTTGCAAGGTATGTTTATATTTTCAAATTGTTTGTTTTTCCTACCATTATAAATACTTTCGACTTGTCAATATCTTATTTATGGATAAGTCAGAGTTTTTAAATATCAATTATAAATAATTATGAATTTCTGAGATTATAATTAAAACCGGTGTAAGATCAGAACGTGTACATGCTCATTTTATGTTTTTTATGTTGTTCAAAATTTCTTAAAACGTGTAACTAATTTTTTTCTTTCAATGGAAATGATATTGAAAGGTTTATATTCAATTTTCTATTACACATATATGAAGAAGTTAAAAAAACATTATTGATAAATTTGTATAAAGAATATAAAAGGATATATTTTTGGTCGACAGAATTAAATACCAATGACAAAAGAAAACAAAGAAATTGCTGGCAGTTGAATTAACTGATTGTCATGTCTTGTTGTTTTTTATTTGCATTACCAACCAATAACTCAATAACTACTTAATAGGTTGAAGGCAGAAGGTAAATGATTTCCGTAAAATTCAATCACTTTATGTTCACTTTGTCATAGATTATATCAATGCTGTTTACCTAACTTCGCGTATTACCCCGTAGTAAAGGAATGGATCCCAGCTTATCCGTCTAGGGGGTACGGGTACCCGTTCGGCTGTGCAGGTTGTATATATAAATAACCACGCCTCGTTTGAATGGAAATACTGTGATCAGGGAGATAGTTTCGTTCTCTGCTAGTGAAAGAAAAATTGCACCAAATTTGTGAGGGGTCTCTATTTAGTCTGTCGAAAAGCAAAATATCTGCCGTAAGGGAGCTACCATTTGATTTCTATGGGGGGAGGGGGGCTAGGATGAAATTTGAAAAAAGGAAGGACAGGAGTTTTGAATTAAAAAAGGCAGGATGAGCAACTTGGCAAAAAAAAAAAGAAAGGATAAACTAATTAAAAAAAAGACTGGACCGAATAGAGTGAAAAATAAAAAGGTAGGACAGAGATTACAACTAAAAAAAAGGCAGGACAGAGATTACAACTAAAAAAAGGCAGGACAACATTTTTCATCCTAGCTCCCCTCCCCTTTCCATAAAAATGTTAGGTCCCTAATCCAACAATCCTCATTTTCAAGGGACAGACCAAATTTTCTCGCCTTTCATTCCGCTCTACCAATTTTGCATTCTACCTTTTATGATCATTAATTTGTTTTCGTTCTTAATATTCATGAAATATTTGCCACTGCGCACTAAACGTCATACACCAACAAAGTTCATTTCCTGTTTGACCTTTACTCGTGGGAAGCCTCACAGATGTGTAATAAGTTATTAGCCTTTCATTAAGACATGTTTTACTTGGTAAATGCTGCCAATTAGGTTTTTTAATCCGCTGTTATTTTCATAAAGATATGTTTTGGTGCGTTGTTTGACAAAATATTTTCGTGTATACAAATCTTCATTTATGTTCATCGTTGTGTGTTGTTTGGTACTTTTGTTGTTGGGTTTTTTTTCTATCTTTAACGATTCCGGGATGATTTTGCGAGAAGAGTTTGTGAGAATCCAATACAGGCCTTGAATTGTCCAATTTAAAAAACAAATCAGCAAAACAGCGAAAAAAAAAAATTTAATAAAAATTTATTATAAAGGGATTTGATATTGTAATAAAAGTAAGTAACATGTCATTATACTTTATGCCATGGTGTAGCTTTATACAAATAAATGTTCAAATTCAATAGTACGCATGCTTGTATTGATTGACATAAAAAAGGGGGTTCAGCACTAATGCCTTATATAAAATTAGATAATTATAATAAATCGGTGGTGAAAAGATATAACCCATTAATAATTTCTTCCTGCACTCGAGCAGATTGATTGATTAACCTTAGCATTCAGTGGCAAATATTTCATACATGTTCAGAACGAGAATAAATATGCAATTAAGTATCATTTAAGTAGGTTCTTCAAAATCGGTCGATCACGAAGGTGACTGGGGAATGTTGGCTTCCACTGGAAAACGAGGGTTTGATGGATAGGGATCGAAATGATACGCTAAAATATGTCACATGCAGTCACTGAGTGAAATTCACCATTCCGAAGACCTTTATGTCCGGCTTTTGGAGTATCGGGTTTACGGGCTGAGTTTTGAACTATCAGGCCTTATGACGGTTTTTCTGTTGAATATCATAGACCTAGAAAAAAAACCTTTATAGCACGGACTTGAATGAATTTTATTTGCATAAACAAATTGACAAGAAATATTTTTTACATATCTCATTATCTTGATTTTTCAGGACCCTGACTAAACAATCTTCGGGAACATGACATCGATGTCATATATTGTTTAGGAACATACATTACCACAATGGACGAATTAGAGGACACATCTGTTGCCTTCAAACCGAGGCGCCAGGTAACATCAAATATATCGGCTGGTTCGGCGTCGGAAGATGGAGACTATAAAGCCCTAAATGCAAAAAGAAAGGTAAAACAATATTGGTTGTAAAGTCCTTAAATTCTTAATAATGTAATTGGCATATGAATGCATATGAGCTGGTTTGCATGAGTGAAATAAATTAGAAAGTGTTGACAAAGTTTTCCTGATACAATTTTTTAAAAAGATAACACTCAATAAAGAAAATACAGTAACAAAGCAATAAGAGAGACTGCAGTTACATGCAAAGTTTGCTACTCTTAGACTGATTTAAAATTATGCATTTTAAATATGTTTGTTTATGCCAGTAACTTTATTGCTAAATTTGAAAAAACAAAGATGTGGAAAAATATTACTAGTATACATAATAATTTATACTATATAAATTTGGTGTGTCGAAGTGCTTTTTTTTATCAACATCATCAGGGAACGCTGAAAACCAAATTTTGAAAGCAAATAATTTATAAAAATTTTAATTACTCGAGGTAAACGACCAAAGGGGCATGCAAAAAGTGACTTAATTCCACCTATATATAGCTATAAAGCTGTGCTATCTGACGCTTTTGTACAGAATTAGAATCGAAAGGTCGGCAATATTTTAAAAACATATTGTAGATGAACATTTATACTAGTAAGCAGGAATAATGACTTAATATAAAATTAACTTTTACATGTACATTTCACAAAAAAGACGAACGGGCATAAAAATAAGGAACGACCGGGCAAACGGAAACTCTGTATAGCCTCTGTATAAGTAGTAATTAAAAAAGGGAATTTACACATTATTATAGTTTTTAACATATAGTCTTGTTTTAACATCAGTTTCATATTTATATATTTTCAGCTTCTGGCAGGAAATAGACAAAGCTTTGATATTACAATTATTGAAGACTCTGAAACGCCAACAGAAAATGCACCTCACACTCCGAGTTTGATACGAAAATCATCCATTTTAGACACACAGTATGAAGAATTCAGGAATAAATTATTTCATTCTGTAACTACCGGTAATGTTGGTGAAGTTTCACAGTCATTGACGTCACTTCCTGCTGCTGTGTCAGTAGCAGACGACTACCTTCGGGAACCAGTCACTGACAAAAACATCCTTCATGTCGCTCTGGAAAACAAACACAGTGAATTGGCAAAACATATCATTGAAAACTGTACCGTAGATATACTAAAACAGCGTTACAAAGGTGAAAAGGATTACAAAACCGCCTTGCATTTAATAACTGAGAGCAATGATTATGGGCTCGCTAAACTTTTGCTTGAAAAGCTTCGAACTAAAGAAGCTAAAATTGATGCAATCAAAGCTGAAACAACCGTTGAGGTTGTAGGTCAACGTCCAAGAAGTCTTTCCTCTTTTCATTTGGCTGCATTCTTAGGTCTTACCGGTCTCGTTAGATTGTACGTTGAGACAGGAATGGATATTAACTTTAGAAATTCAAAACGAGACACAGCTCTTTTGTGGGCATCGCGATGGGGTCACTTGGAAACTGTTAGCTATTTATTGGATCTAAAAGCTGACTGTATGCTCGAGAATGATAAAAATTCTACAGCTCTACACTGGGCTGTACGATATGAACATATTGATGTTGTGCGTTTTCTTTTAACCAAAGGTAAAGCGGATGCAAACAAAGAAAGATTGCAAGGTTTGGTTGTCCCAATAGTACTGGCTGCTGCTTTAGGAAATGTTAGAATTACTGAAATTTTACTTGAGAATGGTGCAAATCCAAATCACATGATACGTAGCGGAGAAACACCACTCCATGTTGCGTCTAAAGAAGGCAATGCATCAGTTATAGACGTTTTAATTCATCACAAAGCAGACGTGGACCGCCAAGATGACAACGGGAACACTCCACTTATCAATGCTGCGGCAAACGATCATATTAAATGTATCGATCTGCTTATGAAAGCAGGTGCCGATGCGACAGTAAAAAACCATATGGGATACGATTCCTGGCATTTTGCATTACAAAGTGAAAATGATGAAGTCTTACAGATAGTGTGTAAACATGCCAGAAACTTTAAAATTCCGCACTTAACAGCCGCAAAATTAGGCAGAGATCACAAAATTAATGTTTTATTTAAATCTGGCTTCAACATTAAAGAGGTGGACGACGACAACAATTCCCTCGTGCACTATGCTTCCTGTTTTGATCAACATCATGTCATAGCGGAATTTCATTCTAAGGTCGACATAAATAGGGTCAACAAAAAAGGAAATACTGCACTACATATCGCTTGCTTGAAAGGACACATCCAGTCTATACAAGCGCTAATAGATGTAAAAGCTAAGGCCGATATAGAAAATAAAGATGGTCAAATCGCTTTACATGTGGCTGCAACAAGTCCAAATACGACACCGGAAATTGCAAAAATATTAGTTGAATACACCATAAAATCACATGCATGGGAATGTCTAAACTCTGTTGACAAAAATCGAGATAATGCACTACATCTCGCAGCCGAAAACGCTCAGCCAGACGTTCTTTGGGAATTCAGATTTGTACGTTTCAAAGACGTTGATCACAAAGGACACACACCATTGCACGATGCCGTAAGAAAAGGTCACCCTGAAGTTCTGGAAACCATGTTGGATATTTTTGAATCGATGCAACGTGATGCGGATATCAATACGCCAAATAGTCGAAAAGAAACGGTTTTGCATTTTGTAGCTTCAGAGGGATTTCAGCAAAGCGTAAGTCGCATCATTTTCCTCGGAGGTGATTTGGCTGCACAAGACATCAATGGAAATACCGTTCTTCATCGTTTAGTTCTTGAGTCTACGATCCGAGCCAATTGTAATTCCAACCCGATTGAAATGCTGGACACTGTTTTAAACAGTGTTGTCCGGTGGTGGTGTATGCGTAATGGTTGTCAAATACCGAATCAAGCAGACGACAATTATTTGAAATACAGACGTGATGCTCTCTTTCACTTACTATATGATGTAAAGAACGAAAAACGCTTGTGTGTCCTTGGGTTGGCTTGTTATCAAGCAGCTCACGGAATTCTATCAGAGTTGATGCGGATAGAAGGTGTCACTTCATTCCGAGAAGAAAATTCTACCCTGTATGATGTGACATATTTCACACCAAAGACAGGTCTTTCACAGAAGAAACCTTTATTTGGTAGATTATCACAAGTAGATCAATCACCAGCAACTTTACCAGACTCAGCTAGGAAGGTATCTCGTGGAAGTAAAAAGTCAAAATTTTTCTTACAGAAACTCGTTACTCATCCTGATAAACAAAATAGTGCCCGGGTATTAGATATTCCACCACTAAAGAAAATGGAGGAAATGTTCAAAACAATTTGTATGGTTACATATCTTACAATGATGGCCTTGCACATCGTGTACATGAGTGTTTTCAGTTACGCCAGCATTACCGCTCTTGGAATTCTCAGAAACAATACAGATGTACCGCATACGGATCTAATTCTAGTTTATATTTGGGTACCTCTGGAGCCATTAGTTTTTCTGTTGTACATTTCAATTTCTGTTGTTAGAACGATTAAACGTGGAGATAGACTTAAGTCGTTATCATGGAAAGTGATTATTATATTTCTTATTTTTTCCATTTTGACAATCATATGGGTCATTCTCATAGGCGTTAGAAATAAAAACAACGATTATGTGCTTGCTGTGGTCCTATGTTTTGGATGGTTGTCAACCGTCGCATTCACAGGTGGCATAAAAGGAATTCATTATTTCTGGCGCATGCTGAAAAATATGATAGTGAGGGACATCTTCCGGTTCGTGGTATTCTACGCAATAGTTTTATTTGCATTTTCATTTGCATTTCACGCCGTGTTCCAAATATCCCAAACAATTGTAGATACCTATCCGACACCAGGAGATACATTATTCATGGTATTTAATTTAATGATCGGAATGGCAGAACTATTTGATGATGTTTACCAAAATGGAATGGAATCTGTTGGCAGATCTACCACATATAGCAAGGTTCTCTATATGTTTTACATTGTATTATCAACTATCATTCTTTTGAACCTTCTTATAGCCATGATGAATGACTCATACTCAAGCATTTTAGCTCAAGAGAGAGTGATTTGGCGAATAGACGCCGTTGATATAGGAATGAAACTCGAAAAGACAGTCCCTTGGCTTACCGACCCTTTCAAATGGCTCCATAAAAGGACTGTCGGGGAGGAAACCCCTGACAATATTAGCGAGCGTTGGTACGTCCAAGTCATAGATGGTGAGATGGAAACAATGGAGAAAAAACACGAAACTTCGATGGCTGAATATATAAAAATTGAACTCGATCAACAAGTTAAAAGCATAGATAAACGTGTAACCGGACTTGCAAAAAATGTAAAAGAGACACATAGAAAATTAGAAGAAACAGCATGTAAACTGGATAAGATTATTGACTATTTTTCTCGAAAAAAAGAAAAGAAAGAAAGAAAAAAGAAAAAACAAGCTGACAGTTAATCTGTCATGTTACATTAGCCAGATGTTAATTGTTATTCAATGATATATATATAGGTTATATTATTTCTGAGGTAATATTATTAAAATTCAAAACAAAATAAATATATAAGCTCATACTATAATCAGTGTATTAATGATCAGTGATAATATAATAATATAGAGATGAGGTAAGATTGTCAATGACACAACTACACGTATCATTAATGACTTAAGTACAATTTGTCAAAGATGTGAACAACAAGTGGTCACCGTAGGGCCTTTAACAATGAGCAAATACTGGATTACGGATATCTGACTGTGGATAGGCACATAAAATAATGTGGTGTGTTAAATATTTTTGTGAATGCTAAACCCTCCCCTAATCTAGATCTGGGACAGTGGTGTAAGAATATAGCATAAGAGCCCATTATTGAAATTAGGAAAGAACTTGCATCATCAGATCAGTACTTAGTACAAAAACAAATATCAAAAAGACACAAAGTACCGAGCTCGAAGTACTCGCAGTTACTGAAAACTAAGTTAGTTCAAATCTCAATTTAAATTATCAAATGAAATTAATCAGTACAAGTAAGTAAGTAAGTAAGTAAATTATTTATTATAGTGACATATGTAAATATGTACATATTATAAACATATAATATATGATGAATATGAATACACCCGGCCCAATGGATCTATAAGTCACATCAAATGATATTAAATAATAATAAAACACTTAAATCACGTTCTTGAAAATAACAAATCATTCATGAAATTAAATATCGAACGAATTTAGTGTCAAGTTTTCATATGCAGCACTTGTCAAAATATAAGTTTCGGCAAGATGAAAACCATGAGTGTTTATAACTTTGAGTTGTGTATTAAAGAATTAAAAATACAGCTACTGTTGGTGCCAAATAAGATAGCATTCAAATATCTTACTACAGTGTTAAATGACATAAACTAACATTTGAAAATATAAAAACAAATAATAAATAATAAATATTAAATAACGAGTAGGATAACTTTTTCATATTCAAGGGAGTGCACGTTTGGGCTAAACATAGTTTTTCCTCGAATGAGAACAACCGAATTGGACTTAACAACCGGATGTGTAATTCCATGAGCAACACGACGGATGCCACATGTGGAGCAGGATCTGCTTACCCTTCCGGAGCACCCGAGATCACCCCTAGTTTTTGGTGGGGTTTGTATTGATCAGTCTTTATTTTTTTACGTTGATTTTGTATACTGATATTAGTCTTTTCGTAAATGTAAATGCCTTAACCATGCATATATGTAGTTTTTTTTTATTACTTTGTGTTTGTTATGCTAACAAGTTAAATACATATTCTTATATCGTATATTTTATGATGGTATGATACTAAACCCCTAGCGGGAGGGATTGTGCTTGATTTTCATATGATGAAGACATAATCTTTCAATCAGTTTAATTGAGGTCTGGAGCTGGCATGTCAGTAACTGCTGGTAGTCCTTTGTTAATTTATGTTGATTATTGTCATTTTGCTTATTTTCTTCTGTTACCTATTCTAACGTCGGACTCGGACTTCTTTTAAACCGAATTTTATTGAGCGTATATTGACGTGTACTTGTTTTTTTTCCACATTGACTACAGGAATTAGGGGGGGGGTTGAGATCTCACAAAACATGTTTATAATGGTTTACTTTTATAAATTGTAACTTGGATGGAGAGGTGTCTCATTGGCACTCATACCACATCTTCCTATATCTATTAACCCCGCCGCATTTTTTCGACTGTCCCAAGTCAGGAATCTCTGGCCTTTGTTGGTCTCGTATGTTTTTTTTAATTTTGGTTCATTCGTGTTTCGGAGTTTAGTGTGACGTCCGTTTTTGCTGAACTAGTATACATAATTGTTTAGGGGCCAACTGTAGCCCTCCCCTGGGTGCGGGATTTTCTCCCTGTGTTGAAGGCCCATTGGTGGCCTTGGTTTGTGTTCTGCTCTTTTGTCAGGTTGTTGTCTCTTTGACGCATTCCCCGTTTCCATTCTCAATTTTATTGCAAAGTTATTAATTCTTGCTCCAAAGGGTTAACCATATACCTTTTTGACTATTTTGAAGCAATTCAGGGCTGATTCTGGAATTATATCAGGCCAGAATATTCATTTTCAGGCCCCGCTCCAGATTACCAAATGGTCATCCCTAACATCATTTGTAACACTTTTTACTTGTTCATCAGAAATACATATATTCAAATTTGTGCTATAAATTCCAAGTTTTGTCATGACCCTATGATCACAGATTTACTTTTACGTTACTTTGAATTTAGTCCTGCCATTTTCCGTGCACCAATGTTCTATTCATTCTGTAATACTAGTATGTTGAAAATTATTTTCATTCAAAAACCAATAGTTGTTTGTAATCATCATTTTCCGGTGAATATTAGAATAACAAGAAAAACTGTTAGTAGAACTCGAAAATTTATACCTACTCCCTTTTAAGATATTCTCGCCGAGAAAAAGCCCAGGTGTGCAGTATCCAATCAATCATTTTACAGATGCGGATCCAGGATTTTGCAAAAAAAGGGAGTGGTGAACTAAGAAAGTTAGGAGTGGAACATGTACAATGTAAATGCCTTAACCATGCATATATGTAGTTTTTTTTTATTACTTTGTGTTTGTTATGCTAACAAGTTAAATACATATTCTTATATCGTATATTTTATGATGGTATGATACTAAACCCCTAGCGGGAGGGATTGTGCTTGATTTTCATATGATGAAGACATAATCTTTCAATCAGTTTAATTGAGGTCTGGAGCTGGCATGTCAGTAACTGCTGGTAGTCCTTTGTTAATTTATGTTGATTATTGTCATTTTGCTTATTTTCTTCTGTTACCTATTCTAACGTCGGACTCGGACTTCTTTTAAACCGAATTTTATTGAGCGTATATTGACGTGTACTTGTTTTTTTTTCCACATTGACTTCAGGAATTAGGGGGGGGGGGGGGGGGGTTGAGATCTCACAAAACATGTTTATAATGGTTTACTTTTATAAATTGTAACTTGGATGGAGAGTTGTCTCATTGGCACTCATACCACATCTTCCTATATCTATTAACCCCGCCGCATTTTTGCGACTGTCCCAAGTCAGGAATCTCTGGCCTTTGTTGGTCTCGTATGTTTTTTTTTAATTTTGGTTCATTCGTGTTTCGGAGTTTAGTGTGACGTCCGTTTTTGCTGAACTAGTATACATTATTGTTTAGGGGCCAACTGTAGCCCTCCCCTGGGTGCGGGATTTTCTCCCTGTGTTGAAGGCCCATTGGTGGCCTTGGTTTGTGTTCTGGTCTTTTGTCAGGTTGTTGTCTCTTTGACGCATTCCCCGTTTCCATTCTCAATTTTATTGCAAAGTTATTAATTCCTGCTCCAAAGGGTTAACCATATACCTTTTTGACTATTTTGAAGCAATTCAGGGCTGATTCTGGAATTATATCAGGCCAGAATATTCATTTTCAGGCCCCGCTCCAGATTACCAAATGGTCATCCCTAACATCATTTGTAACACTTTTTACTTGTTCATCAGAAATACATATATTCAAATTTGTGCTATAAATTCCAAGTTTTGTCATGACCCTATGATCACAGATTTACTTTTACGTTACTTTGAATTTAGTCCTGCCATTTTCCGTGCACCAATGTTCTATTCATTCTGTAATACTAGTATGTTGAAAATTATTTTCATTCAAAAACCAATAGTTGTTTGTAATCATCATTTTCCGGTGAATATTAGAATAACAAGAAAAACTGTTAGTAGAACTCGAAAATTTATACCTACTCCCTTTTAAGATATTCTCGCAGAGAAAAAGCCCAGGTGTGCAGTATCCAATCAATCATTTTACAGATGCGGATCCAGGATTTTGCAAAAAAAGGGAGTGGTGAACTAAGAAAGTTAGGAGTGGAACATGTACAATGTAAATGCCTTAACCATGCATATATGTAGTTTTTTTTTATTACTTTGTGTTTGTTATGCTAACAAGTTAAATACATATTCTTATATCGTATATTTTATGATGGTATGATACTAAACCCCTAGCGGGAGGGATTGTGCTTGATTTTCATATGATGAAGACATAATCTTTCAATCAGTTTAATTGAGGTCTGGAGCTGGCATGTCAGTAACTGCTGGTAGTCCTTTGTTAATTTATGTTGATTATTGTCATTTTGCTTATTTTCTTCTGTTACCTATTCTAACGTCGGACTCGGACTTCTTTTAAACCGAATTTTATTGAGCGTATATTGACGTGTACTTGTTTTTTTTTCCACATTGACTACAGGAATTAGGGGGGGGGGGGGGGTTGAGATCTCACAAAACATGTTTATAATGGTTTACTTTTATAAATTGTAATTTGGATGGAGAGTTGTCTCATTGGCACTCATACCACATCTTCCTATATCTATTAACCCCGCCGCATTTTTGCGACTGTCCCAAGTCAGGAATCTCTGGCCTTTGTTGGTCTCGTATGTTTTTTTTTAATTTTGGTTCATTCGTGTTTCGGAGTTTAGTGTGACGTCCGTTTTTGCTGAACTAGTATACATTATTGTTTAGGGGCCAACTGTAGCCCTCCCCTGGGTGCGGGATTTTCTCCCTGTGTTGAAGGCCCATTGGTGGCCTTGGTTTGTGTTCTGGTCTTTTGTCAGGTTGTTGTCTCTTTGACGCATTCCCCGTTTCCATTCTCAATTTTATTGCAAAGTTATTAATTCCTGCTCCAAAGGGTTAACCATATACCTTTTTGACTATTTTGAAGCAATTCAGGGCTGATTCTGGAGTTATATCAGGCCAGAATATTCATTTTCAGGCCCCGCTCCAGATTACCAAATGGTCATCCCTAACATCATTTGTAACACTTTTTACTTGTTCATCAGAAATACATATATTCAAATTTGTGCTATAAATTCCAAGTTTTGTCATGACCCTATGATCACAGATTTACTTTTACGTTACTTTGAATTTAGTCCTGCCATTTTCCGTGCACCAATGTTCTATTCATTCTGTAATACTAGTATGTTGAAAATTATTTTCATTCAAAAACCAATAGTTGTTTGTAATCATCATTTTCCGGTGAATATTAGAATAACAAGAAAAACTGTTAGTAGAACTCGAAAATTTATACCTACTCCTTTTAAAGATATTCTCGCCGAGAAAAAGCCCAGGTGTGCAGTATCCAATCAATCATTTTACAGATGCGGATCCAGGATTTTGCAAAAAAAGGGAGTGGTGAACTAAGAAAGTTAGGAGTGGAACATGTACAATGTAAATGCCTTAACCATGCATATATGTAGTTTTTTTTTATTACTTTGTGTTTGTTATGCTAACAAGTTAAATACATATTCTTATATCGTATATTTTATGATGGTATGATACTAAACCCCTAGCGGGAGGGATTGTGCTTGATTTTCATATGATGAAGACATAATCTTTCAATCAGTTTAATTGAGGTCTGGAGCTGGCATGTCAGTAACTGCTGGTAGTCCTTTGTTAATTTATGTTGATTATTGTCATTTTGCTTATTTTCTTCTGTTACCTATTCTAACATCGGACTCGGACTTCTTTTAAACCGAATTTCATTGGGCGTATATTGATGTGTGTTTGTTTTTTACACATTGACTATATATAGAGGTATAGGGGGAGGGTTGAGATCTCACAAAACATGTTTAACCTCGCCGCATTTTTGCGCCTGTCCCAAGTCAGGAATCTCTAGCCTTTGTTGGTCTCGTATGTTTTTTTTTAATTTTGGTTCATTTGTGTTTCGGAGTTTAGTGTGACGTCCGTTTTTGCTGAACTAGTATACATTATTGTTTAGGGGCCAGCTGTAGCCCTCCCCTGGTGCGGGATTTTCTCGCTGTGTTGAAGGCCCATTGTGGCCTTGGATTGTTTTCTGCTCTTTTGTCAGGTTGTTGTCTCTTTGACGCATTCCCCGTTTCCATTCTCAATTTTATTGCAAAGTTATTAATTCCTGCTCCAAAGGGTTAACCATATACCTTTTTGACTATTTTGAAGCAATTCAGGGCCGATTCTGGAATTATAACAGGACCAGAACGAAGTTAACCCGACAGACAATTCATTGTAACTGGTAACTGGTAATGATGCAGCTTTTTTATGTTCCTACTCCAACAAATTAAGTTATTATTCGGAAGCAGTTCGGACTATTTGAGAAAAAATCAAGGAATTATAACTCTTGAAACTGCAGTAGTAAATTTCACCTGCATTCAAGGTAGATAGTAACAGAATCTTAAAGCATGTCTCAAAGGTGAAGTTTTTTTTGTATGTCCTTTTTGATCATATTGCTATTCACCTGTTTCAATTCTTATACATTCTTTGCTTTCAAATATTCCACTTTGAGCATTCCTGATGAAGATAATCCAGAACGGAACGTTGGAAGCATACGATTTCATTTTTTACTTGTCATTTAGAAACTATTTTGGCGTCTTCGCAGCATGCATGCATCAGTAAAAATGAACTTGACTTACATTTCATTGTCAAAGGTAATGTTGCGTTATAACCTCAAAAGCGACCTAAATTGAGTATTCTGTAAACAGGAAGTTGATGAGCAATGAATATGAAAACGCATCACAAGGTGTATCCATGCTCACACGATGATGGATGTTTGCTTAACGTCAAGCGGCAAATTTATATGCATATTCAGGACGAGAACATGTTAATGTAATATGATTATATAGACCGACATGCTGAGCCGGATTTTTAACGTTCACAGGGTAACAATCCGCAGGAAGAGATATCACCTTACCCGCACACGTTATTCCGACTCCGAGCCGACCAGTCTTACTCCTTTATGCCACGTGCTTAGCGGATAAGCAGCAAATACCAATTTTAAAGTCTTTGGTTTGACCCGGCCGGGGTTCGAACCAACAACCTCCCGCACTCGAGGCAAACACGCTACCACGAGACCACCGAGGCGGTTCCAAGCTCACACGAAGCTTGATACTAATTTTCGTGAAGCTCTGACTTGTAGATCCCGAGGTCAATAAGACAAAAAATTAATTGCTAGATTGGCCGGATTGACAGACCGACAGTCAAACGTGTTTGGCAAACCGATGATCAGACATCTAGTATAGGCGGCGGGTCCAGGATTTTTGAAAATGGGGCGTATTTCATGCTAAAAAATTATATATTTTCCAAATCATCTCCATGTAATTGAGATGTGTTAAAGCTTATACAACTTCATTCCAAATGTCATTGACCTTCCACTAGTGATTCCCGGTAAACTGACCTAATCCCAAACTAACACATTGTTGGCGCGGCCCCTGGCCTTAGACGGGAAGCCTAAGTCTTGTTCCCTATGCATTTATGTGTTGTTCAGTCAGGTGTAGAATATTTTCTATATTTGAATTCTTTGATAAGATATTTTATTAATATCATTGGGACTTGTTTCATTGTACAAGCATGTTGGCATTTGGTTGTGTGGCCAAATTTTGTCTGGTATACTTGAAATTCAGACAAGGCCTGGGATTTTTAATGTGATAGCTCAGAAACTGTCAATGACGTCACCCTCCCAAAAACATTTTAATTTCTGAGACACTCAGTGTTAGCTCCTATTTGTAATTGCAGAAAATTGGAATATTCCAAATCTCAGACTTTGGTTTTAACCAATTAGGAATTGATAGCATAATTTCTCTACTTATAAGCAAGCAATATGCCCTTTCTGTAAAAAATGCCAGAAACACTCATTTCTGCATTTTTTCCAATTTTCCTATCCATAGTGATAGTGCTTTGTATAAAAGGACCTTTCATAAAATAATTAAGTAAACACCATGATTATTTTATCATTGCATACGAAAAAAGAAGGTTTTAGGAATACTTCATGATACAGTAATTCCACACTACAATAAAAAAAAACAAGGAATCTCTAGTTCAAAATATGGTTTTCAGAAATACAGGGGTTTAAACAGTTTGTCAAGCTGTTAATCACCAGTCTAGAAAAGTAATTAAATTAAACAGACTACTAAAGATCTTCCATTAACATCGAATTATCAAAAATGCTGCATTTATTCTGACATACTGTGGACTATATAACAGCAATGTGTAGACTACCTTAGAATGCACATAACAACAGATCGCCTTACAATCATTCTATACACCAAATATAATAAACCTATTGCTTATAGTATCTGATAAACTGACAAACTATGGCAACTTAACATTGACCAATGAACCCTGAAAGTGAGGTCAAGGTCAGAGGAAACCTGCCAGTCAAACATGATCACTTCATAATCATTCCATACACCAAATATAGTTGACCTATTGCTTGAAGTACCCAAGGTAAGGACTTGACCACGAAAATTAACCTCATAAGTGAGTATTACACATGACAGAAAAAACAAATTTTGTTTCAAGAAGTAATGAACTATGAAAATGAGGTCCAGGAATATGAACATATTAAGTATGACAGATTGAAACTTCGTTACAGAAGATATTTGATTGATAGATTGGTGTTTTACACCTCTTTCAGCACTATTGCACTCTTCCATTGGTGGTGTTTTTAATGGTGGAGGAAGCCAGGGTACCCAGAGAGAATCACTGACCTTAGGTAGGAAAACTGACAATCCTAGTGGCTAGTCAATTAAGATTGGAGACAACACACTTGCCAGGTGCTGGATTCGAACTCACAAGTAACAACCTGTGTGTTGATAGGCTAGTGATACACAAGTTTGACTACTTAGACCCCTTGGACACTGAGGACCCTAATTGCATACCAGTTATAAAGTATCCAGGTCTTTCACCTTCTGAAATATATAGCTTTATACAAATAGTTAAGGCTATTGTAGTCCCTATATCTTGCATCGCCTAAGTCTAGACAAAAAACCACTATATTAGTCTAAAGCAAAATTACAACAAAGAATTTTAATGATTTATTTGTTAAATTCATATAAACTCCAAACTAATTTAATCATTGTTGACTTTAAAATATGAACTTTTATATTAAAACAGTACATGTACAATATTTTCAAAAGTTCACAATTTAACCTCTTGATACAGTAATAATTTCTTACACTTTTGATAAACAATACATATTTTGATATATACTTTCATCATAATTTGTATTATGCTATTGAAAGCATTTTTGGTTCCAAGATTTCCATATTTTCAGGTTTTGTAAAAATATGTTATTGAATGACATTCTTAACCAAATATTTTAGGGTATTCGTAATTTCCTGAAATTTCATTTTTTTTCATAAACTAATCAGTTTATTAAACAAAATTATACTTTTAATACAAGATATCTTTAAGCATTGATAATTTAGAAAGTTTTCAAAAATATGACAAAGTTTTAATGAAACATTGCACAAGGATTGGTAAAACAATAAATTAAGGGACAAATATGATTGATTGTTGGTATTTAACGCCATTTTAAGCACACTTGCCTATATGATGGTGGTCAGTTTTTATTGGAGGAGGAAACCAGAGTACCCATAGAGAACCCAGACCTTCAGCAAGAAAACTGTCAAACCTAGTAAAATAAGGTGGGAGTCGAACACACCTTGCCAAAGCCAGGGTTTGAACTCACAACCATAGAGAAAACAAGTTTATTTTTTAAATAGGTTTCAAAACATGAATGGTGGAATAAGAATTCCCTACTTATGTTATTTATATAAATGGACAATGCTTTTGATTTTTAACTTAAATACCTGATTTTTAATTCAACTTTATTTAAAAAATAACCAGATATTTTTATCTCCTCAAGACAAATGACCTTTCAAACTAAAGAAGTCTTAATATTAATTATATATTTTAATTGCATATTTAACTGTTTAAACTTTTAAAACAGACTTCTGTATGTATCACATATCGAATTTCTATTCTGTTATTCTTTTTAAAATACATATCCGCTTTCTATGGTTTAAACACAATAAACAAGTTTGAAATAACTTAAAAAAATGAACTGCTTTGAGAAAATGACCTCAGTCTAACATTTTTTACTCTTTATGGTATTTTATGATTATTAGCTACCAACTGAAGCAGTTGATTTGATGAAATTTCTCGAAAAAAAGAAAGACAACTTTCTTCTTCTGAAAAAAAAGGCCTCCCTCCCTCATCAATATTTTAAAAAGTGGCCCAAGAACCTAGGCATTTTTTTTGTATGGCCTAACATAAATAAAATGATGGACAGCTTGAACTGATCACATTGCCGATTTATCCAATCAGATGAAGACTTATCCGTTCAGATGAAGGCTTGTGCAAGTCAGTATTGTAAGGTAGTCTGGCACAAATGCAGATTTGTGACAAGGATATGTTATTTTAATTCATTACAATTTCATAAACAATGAAAAGTTATCAATTCGAGCACTCATATAATTTTTTTTAATATAACCTTAATTGTTGTGTTGATCTATTCTAAATACTACACATCCTACATAACTAGAAGTAATCTACTTTCATATTTTACATTTTTTCTTCATGGACTACTTTTTTTTACAAATCGATCTTTAATTATCCATATGTACAAAAGAAAAAAAACCAGACCACCTGAACAATTGTTAATTAATATCACAGTTTAACCCCAGGGAACACTCTACAAAACCTATTGCAAATAATGAAATTATAACTTCAATGGGTCCCATGTGTTACAGGACAAAAGATACATGTTCATGACAAGAACAAAGGAAACTAATATGTTGTAAATTCAATATGTTCGACCAAAATATTGAATATATTGAAAGTATCTTCATTTTTCAATTGGAAGTAAAAACAAAAATATTTTGAATATTATTTCCTTCTTTTTTTCTGAAATAATGATTTTCAGTTACAAAATTCATAAAGCATTGTTTCTTATTAGATCTAAACACCAACATATGAATCCTACTCCCATTTGTATGCAGTACTGCAAATTCAGAAATAAATGCATTCTTTATTCAATATTGCAAATCTTTCAAAATAATGCAAGATTTACTAAGCAGTGCCAAGTACACATACTTGCTGTTGAAAATATTACTTGCGTAATTTAAAACAGAAAGTTTGATTATTTACATGGTCATCCTGTAGTACTTTTCAAATTCAATTGAAGATCAGTTCATTTGCAGAATTAAGAGTTTACAAAAACTAGAGGCTCTAAAGAGCCTGTGTCGCTCACCTTGGTCTATGTGCATATTAAACAAAGGACACAGATGGATTCATGACAAAATTGTGTTTTGGTGATGGTGATGTGTTTGTAGATCTTACTTTACTGAACATTCTTGCTCCTTACTATTATCTCTATCTATAGTGAACTTGGCCCGGTAGTTACAGTGGAAAATACTTTGTAAAAATTTACAAAAATTTACAAAATTTATGAAAATTGTAAAAAATTGACTATAAAGGGCAATAACTCCTTAAGGGGTCAATTGACAATTTTGGTCATGTTGCCTTATTTGTAGATCTAACTTTGCTGTACATTATTGCTGTTAACAGTTTATCTCTATCTATAACAATATTCAAGATAATAACCAAAAGCTGCAAAATTTTCTTAAAATTACCAATTCAGGGGCAGCAACCCAACAACGGGTTGCCTGATTGGTCTGAAAATTTCAGGGCAGATAGATCTTGACCTAATGAACAATTTTACCCTCATCAGATTTGCTCTAAATGCTTTGGTTTCAGAGATATGAGCCAAAAACTGCATTTTACCCTATGTACTATTTTTTAGCCATGTCCGCCATCTTGGTTCGCGGGTGGGGTCATCGGACACATTTTTTAAACTAGATACCTTAATGATGATTGTGGACAAGTTTGGTTAAATTTGTCTTAGTAGTTTCAGAGGAGAAGATTTTTGTAAAAAATTACGAAAAATGGTTAAAAATTGACTATAAAGGGCAATAACTCCTTAAGGGGTCAACTGACCATTTTGGTCAAGTTGACTTATTTGTAGATCTTACTTTGCTGAACATTATTGCTGTTTACAGTTTATCTCTATCTATAATAATGTTCAAGATAATAACCAAAATCTGCAAAATTTCCTTAAAATTACCAATTCAGGGGCAGCAACCCAACAACGGGTTGCCTGATTGGTCTGAAAATTTCAGGGCAGATAGATCTTGACCTAATGAACAATTTTATCCTCATCAGATTTGCTCTTAATGCTTTGGTTTCAGAGATATGAGCCAAAAACTGCATTTTACCCTATGTACTATTTTTTAGCCATGTCGGCCATCTTGGTTCGCGGGCGGGGTCATCGGACACATTTTTTAAACTAGATACCCTAATGATGATTGTGGACAAGTTTGGTTAAATTTGTCTTAGTAGTTTCAGAGGAGAAGATTTTTGTAAAAGATTACAAAAATTTACGAAAAATGGTTAAAAATTGACTATAAAGGGCAATAACTCCTTAAGGGGTCAAATGACAATTTTGGTCAAGTTGACTTATTTGTAGATCTTACTTTGCTGAACATTATTGCTGTTTACAGTTTATCTCTATCTATAATAATGTTCAAGATAATAACCAAAAACGGCAAAATTTCCTTAAAATTACCAATTCAGGGGCAGCAACCCAACAACAGGTTGTCCGATTCATCTGAAAATTTCAGGGCAGATAGATCTTGACCTGATAAACAATTTTACTCCTGTCAGATTTGCTCTAAATGCTTTGGTTTCAGAGATATAAGCCAAAATCTACATTTTACCCCTATGTTCTATTTTTAGCCATGGCGGCCATCTTGGTTGGTTGGCCGGGTCACCGGACACATTTTTTAAACTAGATACCCTAATGATGATTGTGGCCAAGTTTGGTCAAATTTGGCCCAGTAGTTTCAGAGGAGAAGATTTTTGTAAAAGTTTACGGACGACGGACGCCAAGTGATGAGAAAAGCTCACTTGACCTTTCAGGTCAGGTGAGCTAAAAAAAGAGTAAATAATGCAGCTTCTAACAGGAATGTCTTAAATAGTTCAAGTTTGCAGTTGTTTTGTAGAAGTCTGAATTCCCTCAAGAGAGTTCAAGGTGGCTGTATACATGGATCAATAATACTAATAATAATTACATATTTTCTATAATTGCTTTGTACATCTATGCTAAGTGTGAATATATAACATTACGACTAGGTCTTTTGGTCATTAAAATCGACTAAGAACCAAGTCCAGTATTTTGATTGGTTGATTTCTGAGTCTGAGTACGATAAATGTATTCAAAATTTTTCTATTTAATTCAATTAAGTAAATAAAATTAGTCTACATTTACTTAAATTAGTGCCTTCATTTTCTTATACAACATACAAATTAAGTATTTTAAAGAAACCGTTAACCAAGCATTCCATCTTAAACATCACTTTTTAAAATAATTGCTTGATACTAATATTTTGATAGCTAGCTCAATTCGCCTTTTCAGAATCTAAAGGATTCTTGGTAATCTTATTGTTCGTACACCAAAATGAAAATAACGTTACGTCATTGGTTGAATTTCCATTGTTTAGAACGTTTTAAACCAATCACAAAATTTTGGTGTACGCTTTTGAAAATATTAACCAGAATGCATTAGATTATGAAATGGTGAATTGATTTGGAAGCAAATTTTTTTTCTATTTGATCATTTGATCAGTACAGTACAAAATATGAAAATTCAGCAACATTTGAGCAAACACAGTCAAAGATGTTTATACTAAAGGGCAAAAATAAAATAATTCAAAATATAAACTAAGTTCAGAACTTTTAACTATAAAAATTTCAATTATGAATATACATCAAAAAGGGGGACCATATAAAACCTTCACGAGAAATTGAAAGTCTTTACTTGTGCAATTTAGGATCAATCAAGCAATTTTATCCAACATAAATTCCATTCAAAATAATTCTTTTCCTATAAAAACTTTTTACAGGGATAATTAAAGGCCCATTCTAATACTAAAGACTTTTTTTCATCATTTCATTCTAACCTTTTGTTATGTTATACATAAATAATGTTTCTATATTTTTCTCTTTTTTTTTCTTTTACCTTTTTTTCTTGGTCAGAATCTTAACATTTGATCAATACACACAAATACACTTGATAGACATCATTACATACCATGGTTTTGACTTATAACTATAATTAACACTATTGTAATACACATGTATTTTTCATTAAAAAAAAGTCAACATGTGGAACATTATGCCCCATGTGACTATATACATTTCATACTACTAATATATATATATCAACAGCAAAAAGTATAACAAAATATATACATTTGGTAGCACCGTATGTGAAAATTGTTTAACAAACATGGTAACAAAATAATTCTCAATTATACACATCCATAATCTTTCAATGTTATACACATATTATTTTTACTGACACCACATTTTTTTTTTAACTTTTCGTCATTTTATTCTTATTCATTTTGTTCTGATTACATCTGAAATTTAATTTATTGCAGTGTTTTTTTTCGGTAATAAATAAAATTCAATTAAAAAAATCTTATAAATATGTGTTTTGATAAAAACAATATTTAGCATTTAATAGTCTAATATAAAATTATTCATAATCAATCTGATTTAAAATATAAACAATTTCATCATGTAACAGATGATACACTAGTTAATATAGCAAATAAAATATGAACAGTTGCAGTAAACTGGGAATGACGTCATATATATATATGATATATCATTCATCATTATAAAAATATTTCTATTGTAAATTTTGACAAACTTAACTAATTATTTTCATTTAAAAAAAAATCTTGTTTGATTTTTTTGTAACTTCATTTTACTGAACAAATCTTCTTTATTTGAATCTTTCTATCTTTCTTTATTTCACTTTCTTTCTCATGTTACTACTGGTAACGTTTTCTTTATTTAATTTTCTGTATCTTCTTGTCAACTATCTCAATGCATGGTGAAATCTGGTTGTTTGTTGAAACAGCCTCTTCTAACCTACAAAAAAATTCTAATTTCTGAATTTTAAACTGATTTACTTATAATTTTCTTGAAACCTTTTACTAAATTGAAAGAAACGATATCCTTTCTAACTTTATTGAACACTTTACATCTATACTATACACTGTCAATGGTATAACATAAGTGTACTCTGCATGATTGGCAAACTTTCTACAGTTTAGTATACATAAAGACAATAATAATATCAATAGAACTCGCAGTGATCTCCCTAGGCCGTTTTAGTGTCACGGCACCGCATATATTGTGTAAAAGTATATTGCCCCTTTAAAACATGTAACATACATATGTTATCACAGTTTTAGGATTTTTTAGTCCACAATAACAAATGTATGTTATTTTTCTCTAATAACCCTATAGAGTTATACCATTGACTGATAAAAGGGTCTAGCAATTTCATTTTTTTATTTTTTCTACTTTCTATTTCTAATTTCACTGTTTACTCCTGTTAAATAAAAATATTATATTGTTAAGTAACAATTATTTTGTTTTCTCCTGTGAAAGTATCAAATAATTTGGATTTTTATTTTATAATTTTATTCTTTACTTAGAAAGCAGGGTTGTATTTTGCCTTTTTCTTCAAAATCAAACTGCACAGGATTGCATCATCATTATATTAAAAAAAATGTTTATTCATGCAGTGCATGCATTTGTGCATTAAACTGGTTATGAATATCAAAACATCACAGGAAGGACCAATGATTTATATAAAATTAAAAATCACAAATATTACAGAATATAAATAGCAGTTAAATGGTGGCAAATATTGTCCACATGACCAACCATCCAACCAATATTAAAGGTACACTCATATGGGCCTTTAGAGAAATGTGAATGCAAGTGCATGAAAACACTCACCAACAATATCCATCCAACAACAGAGACAGGTTAATCAATCAAATAATAGGATCTAAATAGGTCAATATCCTTAATTCCTCTCACAGTGAAGAACAAAGTTATTATTAGTTTTCATTTCACAAATAGAAAAATAGGTTTACCCAAGTTCAAAAATCAAACCACATTTGTGAAAATGTCTTAGCTTCAAAAGGAGCAATCATACATATCGAAGTCATTAAAGAGATATGGACAAAGAAATTGAAAAAATGCTACTTTAACTTCCTATATGACATGATTGATTGATTGATTGTTGGTTGCTTAATGTCCAATAGCAAATATTTCATGCATGTTCAGGACAATACATTAAACATAATCTATATAAAACTAAAATTGATCCAAATAATGATTCTATCAAATATATCAATAATAACAAAACAAATCATATTTCAAATGTCCAGGATTAAATAAAGAACTTTAATAAATGGAGAATGTGTCTATGGGCCACAGATGCCCCCGCTTGTATAAACGCACTAGTCAACTTCCATATACAGGTGCAGGATTCACGTAATTAAGACTGTTTTGTGATTATAAGCATAAGTTTCATAACATTTGATTTAGGCAAACTAAAGTCAGAGAATTGAAATGACAGATTTAATATTTTTCCATTTATAAAGGGGCATAACTCATGAATGGTTAAAGTGACGCCACCCAATTTCGATCTTGATCTGTGTTTTGTGGTAATATGCATTGTGTATAAGTTTTATAATAGTTGGTTGAGGCAAACTAAAGTTGGAGAATGGAAACCAATTTTGGGGAAGTTCGGACAGACGGACAGGGGTAACACTTAATGCCCCCTCCACTACAGCGGGGTCATAAAAATACCATTTTGCAATAGTGTATACAAAATGAATTACCTGTCTTTGATGGATATATAAGCATCCTTGTCTAAACTGCTTTCCTTGATGGATTTTTTACACTGTGTGGCTAGGTTACGGAAACACATTTCTTTACTTTTGTTGTGAGCTACATTGTCCCAGTCAGGTGTATTACCTACACACTCCCAGGCTTGTAGTATGTACTCTAGACTAGCTTCCCATGACCCTGCATCCTGAAGTTGTTTACCTTGACTAATACATGTACTCTGCAAAAGGGACAAATATAATATACATGTATAACATTTGATGCTGGAAAACATGCACTTTATGCCTCTTATTTTATACATACACCTATCATACCAAGTAAAGACTAAATAAAACATGGTGACCTTTAATAACAGAGCATATCATGTCACAGAAATGGCTTCAATACGTTATATAATAAAGAGCAGCACCATGAGCGCATGATACGCATATCTCTTTTTCCAAGAATTATTTTCCATAACTCCTCAATGTCATATCAGAAATTTATAAAAAAAACTACAGGGAGGTTATTTTAATAGATATAAACCAGTCACCAAAGTTTCATGAAAACTGCTCAAAGCATTTTTGAGTTATTGTCTGAAAACTGGAAAATCATCTATTTTAATTAATAAAACCCCATAACTCGGAAACGTAAAATCTAAATTTTTTAAAACCCGAAAGGGAGCTCACGTCAATAGATATAAACAATTCACCAAAGTTTCATGAAAACTTCTATAAACATTTTTGAGTTATTGTCCGACATATTGATGATGGACGGACGGACAACGGTATACCATATTATGTCCCATAAAGGAGCGTATAAAAAGTAACATAAATTTAATTTCAATGAAAGTGTTTTAACTTAGTCATTCTGCAATTCGGACCAATTTGAGTTCTGCCCTCTAAGGTTCTAATTCAGACTGATCTCGTTTTTGTGCCAATTGACTTTATTTGCAAAACAATCAATGCTCTTACAATACTTTCTTTTGTTATAATTAACAAGAGGCTCTCAAGAGCCTGAATCGCTCACCTGTAATTTTTTGCTTAAATCTGTCATCAATGATTATTTTTGCTTTTCAAAATATATTAATGAGTGGCTTAAAAATGTCATTTAAATGTTCTTTGTAACTGTCATATTTTCTTCAAAAGCAAAAAAATGCATTTTACCCCTATGTTCCATTTTAGCCATAGTGGCTATGTTTCTTGACATACAAGGAAATAAAATACAAAATTTATACTAAATACTCTGAAACTCATTCAGCCCAATTTTGGCTGAAATTGATTCCGCAGTTAAAAAGAAAAAGATTTTTTAAAGTAAGCAAACAAGATGAACAAATTGTGAAAAATTGTCTTTAAAGGGCAATAACTCCTTAAGGGTTCAATTTTCAAATTTGGTCATATAAAAACTTGTTTGTAGATCTTACTTTGCTGAACATTTTTGCTGCTTACAGTTTATCTTTATCTATAATTATATTCAAGATAATAACCGAAAACTGCAAAATTTCCTTAAATTCATCAATTCAGGAGCAATAACCTATAAATCAGATACCCAATTTGGCTGATAATTTCAGGGCAGGTAGACCTTGACCTAATGAATACTTTAAGTTCCTGTCTGATTTCCTCTAAATGCTTTAGTTTTTGAGATATAAGTCAAAAACTGCATTTTACCCTGTGTTCTATTTTTAGCCATGGTGGCCATGATTTCTGAGGAAAATGAAAATAAAACACAAACTTTATTCTAGATAACCTAAGAATCATTCAGCTTAAGTTTGGTTGGAATTGGTTCAGTAGTTTCAGAGGAGAAGATTTTTGTAAAACATTACAAAAATTTATGAAAAATTGTTAAAAATTGACTTTAAAAGGGCAATAACTCCTTAAGAGGTCAATTGACAATGTTGGTCATGTCGACTTATTTGTTGATCTCACTTTGCTGAACATTTTTGCTGTTTACAGTTTATCTCGATCTATAACAAACTGTTAACACAGAGATATGTCTCGCTTATTTGTTATTTTGATAATGCAAATGTTGAAATTACAATAGCAATACTTTTAACATGCAAGTTATGCAAATATTCAAAGTCAATGAACCATGACTGAAGGTACAGGGCTGAACAATCTCCATGGAAATGAGATGTGCCAATGCTAATACAACTGCAAACCAAATACCATTGACTTTTCATTTTTTTCATTTTTCCCTTTAAACAAACCTAAACACAAACATTAACTTGTAAACTATGTAAAAGTTTCAAAGTCAATGAACCATAATTAGGGGGCAGGGCCAAATAATCTCCATGGAAATGAGATATGCCAATGCTTATACAACTGCATACCAAATATCATTGACCCACCACTAGTGGTTCCCCAGAAACTGACCTAATCACGAACTAATACATGTAAACTAAGTAAAGTTTCAAAGTCAATAGACCTTGACTGAGGGGGCAGGACCAAATTATCTCCATGGTAATGAGATGTGCCAATGCTAATACAACTGCATACCAAATATCATTGACCTACCACTAGTGGTTCACCATGAACTAGACCTAATCACAAACTAATACATTGCTGACGCCGCTGCAGCCGGAAACAGCATACCTATGTCTCGCTTTTTGACTCCTTCAAGGCGAGACAATAATATTCAAGATAATAACCAAAAACTGCAAAATTCCTTAAAATTACCAATTTAGTGGAAGCAACCCAACAATGAGTTGTTAGATTCATCTGAAATTTCATGATAGAACTTGACCTTATGAACATTTTTACCCCATGTCAGATTTGCTCTAAATGCTTTAGTTTTTGAGATATAAGTCAAAAACTGCATTTTACCCCTATGTTCTATTTTTAGCCATGGCGGCCAAGTTTTTTGACAAAACAGAAAATAAAACAAAATCTTTATTTTAGATACCCTAAGGATCATTCAGCTTAAGTTTGGTTGGAATCTGTTTAGTAGTTTCAGAGGAGAAATTGTTTGAAATAGTTTACACCGGACAGACGACGACTGATGGTAAAAGCTCACATTTCCTTCGGAAAGGTGAGCTAAAAATTACAGGAAAAGATTTAATTTCCCCAATGGAAGACTTATTCAAAATATGTGCTTTTGACTGATATCTGCCAATAGATTAAGATATATCTAAAGACCTAATTCATCTTAGGGCACACGATGTTTGTTTATTTACTTTCAATTATTCATAATATAACAGGAATAAAGTGAAAAAATAATCATGACAATGGATACCTAAAATGTGAAATATTCAAAGTTGTGAAGGCATGAAAGGCAGAATACTGTTGAATTTTGAGATCTATAGTGAGGATATGACTGTAGCGAAAACATAGTTTATATATACCCCATTGTATGTTTGGGCTATGGATGTTATTGTTCAATTTCATCAGTCACACATGCTTAAAATGTAGGTGACTGGATCATTCATGAATTTTCATATTTGAAGTCACATTAAAATGAAACTGCAGGTCATCCCATATCATTTAAGAATTGATTTAAAATAAGGCAAAAAAAAACAACCAATGTCTGTTTAAGGTTACATCATAAAAAAAAATTAGGGTAGTAAGGTCAGTATTTCTTTTTTTCATTTTATTTTTTGCGACATGATTTTGAATCGTTCCTTGTCCATGGAACCAGATTTACCTGTATTTCTAATGATTGGACTACTTCCCTTGGTTATTGGTTGGGGGAAAAAATTGCTGCAAAGTGTTAACATTGAACATTGGCAATTGATTAAATTTATTGGGAACTAACTTCGCTTTTGACACAATTTCGGTTAATTTTTACTTTATGACGGAAATAAAATTACTTAGGGTTGGTCGGTTAACTGTAAATAGACATATTTTTTTTTTCCGGCATAAATCATGTAATTTCTAATTTATCATGTGCTAGTTGGAATTTTGCAAATGCTGGTCTATCTTTTTGTTTTATTTTGGTGCAGGGTCCGACACTTACGGTTGTCCGATTGCCCGGGGCAAGCTAATGCTGTATTCGGACAAGTAAAAACATCATCTTGGTTGTCCGATCGGGCAAGTGAAAAAAAAAGTGTTATATGATTAAAATTTCACAAAATCAATAGTGTCTGTTGTTTTGTCCATAGATTACTCAGTGATAACACTGCACGGTCGAGTAAAGTGGTCTTAACCCCCCTTCAATGCGTATATTTTGTCAATTGTTCGCACTGAATTCCCCATTTTACCAAAAATAGATCACGTTTAAAAATATTGGCCAATCAGGCGGCCGCGGCATTGCTTCGTCATTATCGTTATCCATCGGGACACCACTCGGGCGTTTCCGACGCACGTGTAATTCCCACCGACCAATGGAAAGCGGAGGTCTATTTTCGTTGTTCTAACTTTATAATTTGACATCGGATGTGTATTTCCCTAAGATGGAAAAACGTAAAAGCTTGAAAGAGAAAATGAAATTAAACTTTAACAAATTTGTCAGTTGTTGTCAGTTTATCAAGAAGGGTTACTTGAAATGGCATTTCTTAGATAAATTATTATGAAATAAGTATCTCTATGTAAATGATCCAATTCCCGTATATTCATCGATCTTTTCCCTCCCTCCTCGGCTCATATATGCCTCATAGTATATTTTCATACTCCATAATCAATTTACACCCCATATACATGATAACTATATTTTATCTGCATGTACTACATTACAACCACAAAAATAGCATGTAAAAGTTTGGGCATGTAGATTTCACTTTCGGACAAGTAAAAGTAATAGGGCACTTGCCCAACTGGACAAGTTGGTATAAAAGTTAATGTCGAACCCTGTGGTGTTTTAAAGGTAATTTGGTAATTTTATGTCATTTCTTTGGTTTGTAGTTAACAGTACAATGCTCACACAAGATTTGGAGGATATGTAAATCTATATCACAGTTCTGTATAAACCTACCTTAAAGTTTTCAACATGGGTTTTTACTCTACGAAAGCAAAATGCATCCCTGCTTGATCCCCACCTTGAATTTGGCAATGACTTAAAAATATTTTTCCTAAAATACTCCAAATTGTCCATCAAATGGCCAATATCTGGTTTAGGTAAACTTTTTTCAACTTCCTGAAAAAAAATTTGAAAAGTAACACTTTGGATTGTTTTTAAAACAAACTGCATCTACTTAAAGAACTGCTCTCTATACTATGGTAGGTCCTATTGGCTTTGTTATATGCATAAATACACAGTCATATCTGCCTGAACAGGATAGTTGACTTATAAAATGTTTAAAAACATAAAAATTATAATCATACAATTAATAAAAATTTTCAATGATTGATTGATCTTTTTTTTTTTTAATCATAATTAATAAATGTAACATCATAGGTAAATTCACATTTTACATTCATAAGGAAAATATCAAATACCTCTTTCAGATCTGGATGTTTGTTAATAAGGTTTCCCAGCAATTCTGTTAATTGTTCAGAACTAAGGGCAGATAATCTCTTATTTATCGAAACAGGCATTTCACTTGTTCCTTTGTTAGATTTACGCTTCTTCGCTGCTGATTGTGTTAAACCCTGAAAAAATGAATCATTAGGTAAAGAACTTTTCTAAAAATCTATAATTTACAAATGCCAATGAATATTTGAGGATTAAGGATTTTTTTTATATATACTTTTTTATATTGTTTACCATGTTTAGAGCTATTCCATTAAAAAGGAGGTACTAGGGTCAGAAGGCAATTTTTAAGTACCCCCAGGACCAAGAGGAATGTATCATGTCTCTTAACACCAACCAACCGGAAGTCGTTTCATGATAATACAAGAACCAACTGGAATATATTTAACTTATTTTTTACTGGCCCTTCAAAATTGAATAGAAGTTACCTCTTGGGATTGTAGATATATGTATACTCTATAAAAACATCTACATTTAATATTAACATTTATTTATGATAAAGAAAATTACTGTCACATTTCATTGGATTTTGACATGAAAGTTTGTGAACTAAAAGTTATTTTGAGTTTCTGTAAAAAATAGTTCATGCTTTTTCTTTCTTTTCCATATATCTTTTGGTTTTCAATTCTAGTGTTTATATTTCATCATCATAGATGTATTTTGTCACCTGCCTGGAATTATTATTTTTTTTATTGTATTTGATTGGCAAACCCGGAATTACCCTTATCCGACCCCAGAATCTGATCAGGTATTGTAATCGTCTTCATTTCCGGTTTATGGCATCCATTGTTTTTCAATGTTGTTTTTGTCAGTCAGATACGATTTTACTCGTATTTACACATTACTTGTTGGCGATTTTCAGTATAAAGCTAGCGGTTGAACAAAATGAGCATCGCTGTCATGAATAATAAAGATAAAAATAAATTTCTTTTCCATATATCTTTTGGTTTTCAATTCTAGTGTTTATATTTCATCATCATAGATGTATTTTATCACCTGCCTGGAATTATTATTTTTTTTATTGTATTTGATCGGCAAAACCCTGAATTACCCTTATCCGACCCCAGAATCTGATCTGGTATTGTAATCGTCTTCATTTCTGGTTTATGGCATCCATTGTTTTTCAATGTTGTTTTTGTCAGTCAGATACGATTTTACTCGTACTTACACATTACTTGTTGACGATTTTCAGTATAAAGCTAGCGGTTGAACAAAATGAGCATCGCTGTCATGAATAATAAAGATAAAAATAAATTTTGAGATTGTTTTCTGGGAAAAACGTAGGATATCTGCCATTGCCAATAGGAACACAGGGGCTTGTTTAGTGTGTCAGATGTGTATATCCTATATAAAACATAGGATAGCGACCGCCATTGACCGTAAAACCTCGTTTGACACACTAAACAAGCCCCTGTGAAGGAATGGGTCCGGTATTTGGACCCTGTGGAATACTAGAAAAATCCCTGGAGGGGTATACAATTTCAATAGTAATATGGCTTTAAAATGACCATACTGATGGTTAAAAAGGTCGGCAAAGTTAATTTTTGTTTGGGAGACTTAAATATAATTATATGGTTTAGGGGTGGGGATCTCGACCATTTCCAAGTTCTCAAACAGGAGGGGGTGGGGTGACCCGAGGAACTCCCCATATATTTCATTTGATTTGTTATAATAGTCCCATACATGAATATATATGGTTTAGGGGTAGGGATCTCGACCGTTTACAAGTTCTCAAACAGGAGGGGTTGGAGTGACCCCAGGGAATCCCCCTATATTTCATTTGATTTGTTTTATTGTCCCATACATGAATATATATGGTTCAGGGGTGGGGATCTCCACCATTTCCAAGTTCTCAAACAGGAGGGGGTGGGACGACACCGGGGACTCCCCAAAATTATTTTCATTTGATTTCTTTTATTGTCCCATACAAGTATATATATTGTTTAGGGGTGGGGATCGCGACGGTTTACAAGATAAAAGTACATTTTCAAATTGAAAGGGGTTGGGATGACCCCCAGTGACTCACCCTATATTTTGGTTGATTTTTTTTATTGTCCTGTTCTCATTACTGAAGACTGCATGTGTCTATCACTTACTGTTTTCGTGAAATAGTCATTTGAAAATTTAAAAAAATAAAATCCCATAGGGTTCTATAGTAAACCCCTCCCTTCTTCAGGCCCCTCCAAATACCACTAAATAGACCCCAATGCACAAACAAAAGATTAATGGCTCCGCTAGACATGTTAGTCTAATATTTTATGAAACCCTAAGTAAATCTGACAAACGGTCAAAGTTGTCTTCTTAGAAGGTTTGAGTGGATTCGGTTCGACTTGTCTCGGGGACGAGTTGTCCACATTACTTAAAACATCCCATCAACGTCGATTTCCGCATCTGTTTCACGACCTCGTTTCATTCATAAAATAACAACAACCTTATTTGGCAAGATAAGTTAAAAATTACAGCCCACTTATATAACTTTATTTCCTCTATCATAAAGATTTATTGTACGTGAACAATATTCCTGCGCATTTTGCCATTTGGGAAATATAAACGACTTGTAATTACCGATTTTCAGCGATGAAATATTTCATACAATTGTTCTTTGACATCGTAGCCAAAAGCACACGGAATAATAAACTACGTACGGATTTCTATTGAGCACTACTTCCTATGTGCAACTTCAAAAGTTTTGGGTAGTTCGACGATCATTTAAGGTTTTTCTGGTCATATTTTTTGTATTCCAGAAATAAAAGTATTAAAAAAATGTCAAATTACATTTGTAGTTATAAATAACATAATAGCCTGCTAGATAATAACAATGGCACATATTTCAGCATTTATTGGGTAGAACACAATTTTATGGTGCTCGCATAAGGCAGCTTAACTGCCTAACAACCAACAATACTTAGTTTCTCTAAACACCAAGGACCACTGGCCATAAACGCTTCAACACATCAACAACCAACAGGATTTTTTATAATTGCCGTCCGACCCTGGTACATTCTTTTAAATGGAATAGACCTTACAAATTCTGCATATAAGGTAGAGAAAACACATGGTGTTGTTTCCTACCTACCCTTACATATTCTATGGACATTTTTAGTTATTTAAGCAACATTAAAGAAAAGAATTTTTTGGATAAGCATTTAAATTCAAGAACATTTCCCTATTTGAATTATGTAAAATATTAAATTGTTGGGTTTTTTTTTACCCACCTACCTATTTTTATCTGCCAGGAGGTAGTCCTGAAACACATATATATTTTTAGGCCTATGCCTTAAAGAAAGCTATTCCATGAAGACATACATTTGTGTTTCACCTACGCCCACAAAATTTATATATCAGCACCAATACAGTTTTTGTCAGATGATAATAGACTAAGAACATATTTTTAGAATAACCTATCTGTTACTTATCTCTCAAAAAGTTTTTTATTTGTTGGTAGTTTTCAAAGTTAGCCCATGGCCATTTGTATTGTTATTACAGATCTTAAATATCTTGAGATAAAAATTTTGACAACGGAAACTGAATCCATTACTAAAACGTAATAAGTTAACCTTAGGACAAGGACTATCCTCTGGATCACTACTGATGTAAGATGTCGACAACATCAGCCTCTTCCTAACTCCATCTGCTGCACTTTTACGTGTCGGTGTACGTGAACCACTAGATGAGGTAGTACTGGTATCTAATGATGTGTCCAACAAACCTATAACATAGATCAACTAAATGTGTTATTATTCAAAAATGTATTTGATTGATTGTTGGGCATTTATCACCTATTCTAGTAAAATGGTTAAATCATGGAGGCTCGTTTTTATTGGTGCAAGAGGCTGGAGTTTTGGGAGAGAACCACCCACCTTCAGCAAGAAAAATTGCATTCAAATATGTGTTTAGTTTGTATTTCATAAAATCTAAATTCAAACATTTGAAAAATTCAAACAGAATGAAACACGACTCAATACATTATACTCATTGAAAATATTTTACTTAAGGAACTTATTGGTCTCACTGACATTTACACCATAGTTCCTAAATTTTACTATATTTAAATAAGAAATAATGATCAAACCAATATCTGTGATTGCAGGGGTTGATGTCTGGAATGCCCTTTTCCTTGGACTGGTTCTAATTTGCCCTCTTTGTCTAATAACCTCCTCATCTGGTGACATTGGAGAGGCAACAGCATCACTACCTGAAAAATAAAATACTGGAGTTAAAAAATAACTGCTTTGCCAACATTATGATAAGGTTGACAGGGTAAATATTGAGGTGAAAACACAGCCATTTTAGCCAAAGGGTCCACATGAACCCTAATAGGATATATAGGTTGTGTGTACATCTCTGCCATTCTACAAAATAGACAACTGTAAACAGAGAAAAGTTAGCAGCAGGTTTATTTTCGCAGCATTGATTGATTGATGTTTTAACGCCTTTTTTCAGCACTGTTGGTTATTTGGTGACGGCTAGTTTTTATTGGTGGAAGAAGACGTAGTGCCCTTTGAGGACCTCTGACCATCAGTAGGAAAACAAACAAGCCATGTGCAAGACTCAAACTTACAACCTTAGTGTTGACAGACAGGCTAGTGATCCAGTTGTTTAACTACTTAGACCACTCTGCTACCAAGGAACCTCAGCAAGAATTAAAACATGAAAATAAAAGTGCTGCCAATATAAATTTTCAAGGGAAACCCAGGGCTCACACTACTTCAGAATCATAGGGAGAAGTGCTTGCTTGCAATGCTACAATGTTTTTGATTTTTACTATAATATAAAGGGTCATATGTATCCTATTTATCTATTTTTTTATATTGTTCAATTCATACCTGAGTATACAATTAAAGTAACAGTTGTTTCAGTTGATCATTTCTAGTTGCACAATTATATTAGTCCTCTTGTCAGTCAGAAACTACTAACTAAATGACTATGAATATGATCAAGATTCTATATTAGGGTATCATCATGCAGGTCATAATCTTGCCGGCGAAATGACGATTTAAGTCACCAAAGAATTTTGAAAATCGCTAAATCTCGCCGGCCGACTGACTTCATAGCGAAGTCAAATCGCTATCAAAATCGGTAAAAGGGAGACAACTTGTGTTTGACAAGTCTCACAGGTAAAAAAATGGCGACTGACAAGGAAAATCAAGATTTTCGAAACGACCCAGAACTAATACTGTCAACAATCAATTTTAAATAAATACAACGGCGACTTTGAACATCCTCAGATATAACTTTCAAAACTATTCTAACGGAAAACTGACCGTCTGTTTAAGTTATCATTTTACGATGATTTTCATCTGAGGATATTGCGTAATCACTCTGCTGATTTGTTTTATTTTTATAACTTACATGAGTCGATCAATTTTACTATTCGGTAGGTAAAGGGTGGGAATTAACGGTAGATTTATAATATTGATTGAATAAAAATTGAAATATAAAAGGTAGAAAGACAGCTGATGGATAATGTGATTGTTAACATACGACACTCTATCAGATAGTGATCAGCAGAGGATTTTTTCTCACGACCATTTCGTTGATATGGATGATATTTTTTAAAAATGATAGAAATTAGCTCTTTATCGGATAATTAATATGCGATTGAAAGATATTTTCATTTATAGACTTACAATCTTCAACGATAATCTCAATTTACAACTAACATAATGTCCTGGACATTCAATAATGTTTTACAAAATAATGAAAAGTGGTGATATAAATTAAATTCCCAGTCATCTGAAATTCATCAGGTAAACTGGGAGTCATATGTTTTCTGGACTTTTTAAAATAAATTGAGGCAGATGCACATGGATTTAATGCATCAGAATCATGATAATATTACTAGGCTACTCCCTCATGTCCCAATCAACAAATTTTATTTAGAACACAATGGTATCAATAAATAAATAACAACTATATATTGTCTAAACCTTTTTATTAAGAACTTTCTATATATATACATTGTGTACAATAACATATGAAAAAACTGCAAGTATATCTTTTATTGAATATAAAACAATTTTCTTAGTGATAAGCATGAAAACATGACGCGACCGAAACGGTAATGGAACCTCACTTCTCCAAGAGAAATTGACCACTTCTTCCTTCTCTCTCATGGAAGGAGAAGTCACTTCTCCCTCTTCAAAATCCTAGATTAGGCCCTGAGCGTATGAGTCTAGAAGTGATAATTTATTACAAAAAGGAATTAAATTAACAACCTAATATACATAACTATCTTTATTTCTTACCAATAACTATGAAACAATGGTATATTCGATTAAATCCCTATCCATTACCAGTGTTCTCAATAAGTTTTTGAATAAGAGGAAGAATAATAAAGTAGGAGGCAATCATGAGGGCCGCAAGTCCCAACACGATTGTCGCAGGCGCGAGGAGGTATCCCCCTTCTTGTTAAGAGAATTTTGAAAATCTGGATTGCAGGAGGTGGCATCTGGGCTGTTCTGAGTAGATTTTGACCTCTTATTCTTCATGTTAATTTGTCCATTTTTAGTAGCTCATTTAAATTTTTGCTCAAAAATTAAAAATTAATGTGATTTTTTTTTTGCAGATTTTACATGACATGGCTTGCTTCACCCCTTGCATGTTCAATGTTCTTCTTATTGAAATCTTTATCACTAAGGGCTATTCCAGAATTGATTGTGTGGGGAGGGAAAGGCACTTTTTATTTGAATAACATTTTAATTCATTTTTCCTTAACTTTAAGTTTTGATTGGGAAAATATGTGAAGTAGCCCATGCAATTTTTTTTTTCAATTAATTTGCCTTCCCCCTCCCCATACATCCATTCCTGGAATAGCACTTATAATTGTGTCTTCACTTCATATTATTTCTTATAATTAGCGTCTTGTATTATAGTTTCAAATAGAATTCACTGAGAACATTAATTTTTGCTTTATTCAGTCATTCAAAATCTGGTAAGATTTATATTTAGAGGAAACCAGAGTTGCCTGAGGAAACTGTCAACCTGCAGTAAGCAACTGACAAAATATGGCTAGAAAACTAATAAATTTTAAATCTGGGAAATAGGATATAGGAACTATGTAGTCAAAGTCAAATCAGCATCTGATCAAATAGGCACATATTTTTAAGTAATTTCAGCATTTAGTTGGTCAGTTCAGCACCAAATAATATTTTTCATTTGTTTTCTGCTTTTTAATTATTTAGAAATAAATTAGGGTTGGATTTTATTTCATTCAGTACATTGTTGAAAAATAATCTTGTTATTACAGTCAGGTGTACTACTTGTACAAGTAATCTTTATTTACTTGAAGAAGTAAATAATAATATACTTATTTAAGTAAATTATAATGTTTGAAAAATCTCCCCTTAATTTTCTCAAAAAATTACTTGTATAAGTAATTTTTTTTACAATCCCGAAAAATTCTCAAGTTTTGAGATGTAAAAACATGCCTTTAACAATTTTTCTCAGGTTAGCTCATAATTTTTTATTAGAGTTCAATGTTTCATCTCATTAATTCAAAAAAGAAACTAATTGCATATATACATGTAATAAGATCTTTGTGCAAGGCCTTCAAAAATTGCCCCTTGGGGGCTTGTAAATGAGCAGTGTTCTGAACATAACAGACAAATGAGATTTTCATTGTCCATGAAGTTACACTTAAATGATTAGTAAAGACATCTGCAAAGGACAGACAATTAAAAATTCTATAAGAGCAAAGAAGTCCTAAGAAATTCAAGAAAAGAAGATAGGATGACTTTTTTACTTGTATAAGTAAAAAAATCTGAATGTCTAAGGGACATAACTAAGCCAAAAAATAATTCACCTATACAAGTAAATAAAATACACTTGTATAAATATCCTACAAATTTACTTATATAAGTATATTAATATTTACTTCAAGTAACTGATGTTTTGATTTGATTTGTTTCTTTTCAAATAATTAATAACTTATATCAATTAAATAATTAACATGTTTGTTGTTTTAACTCTATACAGGTAGTTATTGGTGTTTTTTCCTCAACAACTTAAAAAACAATGAAGCCATTGGCATTGCCCAAGCTGTTGTTTAATCATGAAAAAATAAGAAGCAATAAAAGGGCAAGCTATGAGTCCCTGTCATCAATATCAACTGGTTAAAACATGCATAATAAATATTCAATACCTTGAATACACATATAGTTGCCCAAAGAAAATACACAAAGAAACAAAAAGAACTTGAAAATAAACAATAATTAATTCTGGCCATGCCCATTGTTTATTTTAATCTTTTTGCTTAAAATACTCAAAACAATATATCTTCAACGAATATTTGTCTAGGTGCCGATTTAAACCATGTTCTGAATAGACTAGAATTCGTCAGTTGCGGACTGATTTCACTGTGTTTAATTTACTTTATACTCCAGCGAATACACTAAGCAAGCTTTCTTATCTTTGCTCCACTGTAAAGCCAGCTCATGCTAAAAGTAGTCACTGGTCGTTCTCTTCATGTTGAGCTGTATAAAATATCCGCGTCAACATCAATCACGATTTTATCGCTTTGTTTCAAACGCTCAAATGATTTGAAACTAGTTTACGTTTACATTTATATTATTTACGCCTGGCGGAAGACTCGGAACCAGTTAGTAGAAAAAAAGATATACGACATATCCCGACTATGCGATTTTCGCATATGTCATATTTTTAGGCAATAAATTAATAGCCGGCACAAAACAAGCAATAGGCGGCGGATTTTGCTGGCTCTTATTGAGAACACTGCATTACAGTGCCTTTATATCTATGTAAAGAGTGCCCTACAAGTGTAGTCCTCTGCACAAAGGGTACCCTTAAAGTGTAGCCAATCGCGCCTAGAGTGCCCTCTGAGAAAAAAATTACCCTGCTGTTTTCAAAAGCTGCAGGAAACACTAAAGAAAGTATAATATATCAATTAAAATTCATTTAAAAAACTATTTTGTTTATCATCAGGGGTTCAAATTAGCGGTGGTCCGAGGTCCGCGACCTTCCATTTTTGCAGTCGGACTCTCGTTTTGGTTAAAAGCTACGCCCGATGGACCTTCGGTTTGAAAGAAAATAAAAATAATCTTTGCCGACCTTTTTAAACAAAAATTTCCAAACAATCTCAAAATTTATTTTCATTATTATTATTCATGACAGCGCTGTTCATTTTGTTCAACCGCTAGCTTTATACCGAAAATTGCCAACTAGTAATGTGTAAATCCGAGTAAAATCGTATCTGACTGACAAAACAACATTGAAAAACATTGGATGCCAAAAAACCGGAAATTAAGAAAATAAAAAAAAAAACGGATCCGATTCCTGAGCGGATAAGGGTAATTCCGGGTTTGCCGATCAAATACAATGAAAAAATAATAATTCCAGGCAGTTGACAAAATACATCTATGATGATAAAATATAAACACTAGAATTGAAAACCAAAAGATATATTGAAAAGAAAGAAAAAGTAGGAAATATTTTTTTACAGAAACTCAAAATTACTTTTAGTTCATAAATTTTCATCTCAAAATCCAAAAAAATGTGACAGTAATTTTCTTTATCATTAATAATATTGATATTGCATGTAGATTTTTGTATAGTGTAAACGTATTACTACAATTCCAAGAGGTAATGTCTTCTCAATTTTAAAGGACCAGTACAAATCTGGAAGTTTCTTATCTTATTTTCACAGAGGAACTAATGCATTATAATAGTGCAACTAGATATGATACACTTAAACCAGAGACATATATACACATGTATATACGTCTCTGCTTAAAGAGCTTTGAATTTGAACTGTTTTATAAAATGGTTTAAGTACTAAGTAGTAATAAATTACCAATAGTTGAGACAAGACACCCACCCATGGTGACACCCTCCTCAATAACAAAAAAATTTATCCGAATTTATAATATACAAGACAATTACAATTGTTATTAAATATTTTATACAACAGTGACTTTGACAATGAAACAAGTTGACCTAACACCAACAGCACATTAATTTTGTTACTTGTATCTTACTATGTTAGGAAATATTTCAAGTAAAAATAGGACCTGGAATTTAGGTTGTGGACCTTTCAGTTTGGAGTGTCAAAGGTCCTGGACCTTCCAGTACCAAATGTTAATTTGAACCCCTGATCATGTTTAAGAAATTCATTGTTTCTCATTAAAAAGATATATAAATTTAACAAAGTTAAGCAACTTTAATCAATAAAATGAAACAATACATATAAATGGAAATATATACATTAAGCAAGGAGATCTAACCAGAAGTCTGTTAATGCGTAATTTTCCCTTTTGGGATCATCATTCTTCTGTCAACAGTGGCATTCGTGGATCCGTAGATTTTTATCATTGTAAGAATACTGATTTCATTCATATCTGGTCCGGTTCCGATCAATCCTGCCTCTGATCAGTAGTTCGCACAAATATTTCAATGGCAGCGAACGAAGAAAATTTACAAATATAAACGATGTTTGAAAAGCTATTTGGAAAGGAATATTACATTTTTAATGCAATAAATGGTTTGAAAATTTACTGAAGGCAATTTTCAACACATTTTTATAAAGTAACAAATTTATTTTTTTCCGAAAATCATAATGTTTTGATGTACAATTGTATGCTCTCTAGTAACAAGTACCAGAAGTGATAAAAAGTTGTCTGTATGAAATTACATACAATCAATCTGTAAAGTCAATACTTTCTCCTCTTTTCTAAAGAAATAAATTGTTTATGTCTTTGAATTTTTTTACTTTTAAATGAAAAATTGCGGTTTCATCGACTTGGTAAAAATTGAAAATTGCCGATGGCGAAAGAGACTGAAAGCGAGTATTGTGAACACCAGGGCAACTAGAGATTGCTTTTGAGGGTCGAGCAAAGAGAATTGACAGACGTGAAAGTGAATTCTTCGCCCCAATCGCCTGTTAGCGTGAGCCCTGAAATCGACTTAAGGTTCATGTGGACCCTTTGGCTAAAATGGCTGCATTTTCACCTCAAAATTTACTCTGAGTACAGACAAACCTGCGCATCTGGAAAAGTTTTAAGGCATAGCATGCCCTAGATAAATAAACTTCTAATGCATTGTATGTTTTAGAAAATTTAAAACTTAACTGGATTTAGCAGTGCACTTTTTTTCGTCCTTGCAGAAGATGATAAAATTAACAAACAGTTGAGTTTCACTTGATACGGTCCACTCAGGTACACAGTTTAAATCACCAATTATTGTCAGGTATCTATTGTCCATCTATTGTCCATGTCAATCAAAACAGTTCACTTCAATTATTACCTGTGGGGAAGTTCTCAAACCTCTTTCCCAACTTAGTTTATTTTGGCACCTTCTGGAGGAATGAAAAAAAGTGCACTGCAAAATCCGGTTAAGTTTTTAATTTTCTAAAACATAAAATATATTTGAATTTTATTTATCTAGGGCATGCTATGCCTTAAAACTTTTCCAGATGCACAGGTTTGTCTGTACTCAGAGTAAATTTTGAGGTGAAAATGCAGCCATTTTAGACGAAGGGTCCACATGAACCTTAAAAGGAAATTAATTTAGGAAGGGGTATACTTATAGATCTATACCACAAATTGTCACTTTATAAGAATGATAATTCTAAATGAAAGGCAATGTACACACAGGCAAAATTGATTCTAACAAACACCATAACCACTTGAGTGTTAGCACAATGCTCCAACACCTAAAATGGACATCCCTAGAGCAAAGAAGAAAAGAAACGTGACTCATCATGCTCTACAAAATAAAGAACAATAAAGTGGCCATATCAAAGGAAGGTCGTCTTATACCACATTACCAGTCACCGAAAGGACTGTCGAGAAATATGCACGACAAATGCTTCCAGATACCATTGGCCTCTGGTGATTATGGCCAACACTCGTTCTCCCAAGAACCATCAGGGAATGGAACTCTTCCTCCTGAGGTTGTATCAGCACTGTCAGTCGAGGCTGTCAAAGCTGAATTAATTTCAAAAATATTGGAGGGAGGGGGGTGATTCTGTATGTGCACCAAACCCATGGTAGTATAACCAGTTGGTTGATAATTTGTGGCCATTATCTGACAGAAGCAGAATCTTTACTTTGTCCACCTTCCCATGCATAGAAACAAGTGCCTGTGAATGGTGAAAGTACTTGTATGGGATAGGCCATTTTTTTCATGTTGGAAATCTATATCCCAAATTTTTTTGTAATTGAAACTTGTTCTGTTATTTGCTATCAGTTTTTTTTTATTTAACTTACCACTAAGACTTGTATGCAAAGTGCGCAATGGGGATCGCCTCGGTGAATGTCGAATATTTCTCTCTAAAACAAAGTGAGCAAGAGTTTGCTGGGACATTGTTTGGCTGAGGTTAAAAAATGTATAAAATGATTTGGTCAAACGATTTCCAGTTTAAAATTGTTATGAGTTTTGTTTGTTCATCTTTTCTGTAAATTTTGAAAGTTGTTAAATAAATGGGTGTTCCAAAAAAATCTTTGCTTATTTTCCTCCAATGCTTGATTTTACCGCTTTTTCTTTGTTGTCATAATTTTGATTGGTTATTAAATGCAACAGACGCCACCTTCAGTGCAATCGACGAACTAAGGCCGAGAACTCTAATTAATATTTGAACTTTCTTGTAGGGTTTCGTTAGTTCCTTGATGCGCTTCATATCTTCATATCAGAAAGAGAACAATTAAATGATTTAATTTTAATTAGATTGGTTTCATCTGGGACCAATATATAACCTATTTCGCATGTGGATTCTCATTGTTTTACTAAAAGGGACCTTAGGGACCGGTCAAAATTTCTTGATGCATGGGACCGGTACAAACTGTAATGGGACAAGCACTTTTTGCAGTGTTTACAGGAATGGGACTCAATGTTTATTCATTATTGGCAAGCATGGGACATGAACTTTTTGAAACAATGTCTGTATATGAAAAAAAAATTGTTTGATAAATCTATAACAAAAAAAAACAACATCATGAACATCTAGCAATGTGAATTTAACAGTTACAACATAGCAAATTCATTTTCAAGATTTAAAGAACAGGTATTTTTCTATTAAACATCACTTTTATTTTTTACTAATTAATTAATTGGGCGACCTAATGATCCCATCAGAACAACAAATCTTATGTCATGTCACAGAAAAATGTTTTTTTTTTTATCTGAGACCAGGATCATGATGATATTTGTGTGTTTAATATGTAAAAATATTTGCAGAAAAGCCAAAATTTTTGTACATGTAATATATATTAAAATTCCTTCTCTAAAGAGTAGATAACTCTACAAATGAGAGATAACTCCGTTGTATGGGAATACAGAATAGCGAGAACAATGTATGACGTAATATAAAATCAACAAAATATGACAAATCTATTGGCACAATCTGAAATCCTACAAGCACTTATGTGTAAAATGTATTATGTAAAAGAACAGAGAAAAAAATAAAAATAACAAAAAGCTTAACCATTAAATTAATAATAATAACAAAAGGCTTTAAATAACCATCAATAAAATATGAAGATGAGGTAAAAATAATTTGAAAGTAGACTGACTAGATACATGTATAAAGTAAACTCATATAAACAATAACAATTCTCACTTAACTGTGTCACATTATAATATTGGACTATTGGTACAAATACTGTTCAATAAATTCAAGGGCCAGCTCTCGGAAACAACCCTCTTTCACCATGTCAGCCAAACGACACTTGTCAAATTCACTAAGGGTATCTGAAAAAATGTTTTCTATAAATGTACATGTATCTTCTATTTCGGTAATCTGATACGCCCCCATTTCAGGAGTGAAACATTCTGACATGAGATGACCACCAAATAGTTCATAGATGTCTTTGCATCTATTTAACTTCCTGCGCTTTGTTCTTGCTTCAACTTTCCACTTGTTCTCTCGTTTTCTTTTTTTTTTGTTTGTCAGTTCTTTTTTCCCTCTCTTGTTCCAACTAGTTACTTTACACTTTTCTTTTAGTTTAACAAGAGTCTTATTAAACGGCTTTATCTCATCTGCAATGAAAATGTTCATCTTGTACTGTGTATTGTGTCTTCGTTGAAATTGTGTTGACTTTGCCTTCCTGATTTTAGTCTTCCATTCTGACAAAACAATGAATCATCATCTTTACTTATTTTTTCTATTTCAGTTACAACTTTTTGTTCTAGTGTTGAGGCATTGTCGATTAATCTTTCTAAAATATCTACATCATGTGGTAAGGGAAAGTAATCCTCCTTTAAGTATTTTCCTGCACATGCTTCTTTTTCACTTTTGACATGTTTGAAATATGCCAATTTCGACTAAAAAATTTCCAAAGTTTGAACTGTATTTTAATTGTCGGTTCCTTTCAACAATAAATGTGTTGTGAAAAATGGTGATATTACCACAATATGGCCAAAAAGATTCGTACAACGACTTCAAAACGGTATTGTAAAATTGTCCAGTTTTTCTTTTCGGATCAGAGATATAGCCAAATTTTTTGTTCATCCATGGCTCGATAGTTGTACTTAATTTTGTTGCTCCACCAGACTGTTTAGCCTCAACTAAAAATAGTAAATATCAAAATATACATTTGTTATTTAAGCCAATGTATTAAAACACATCAAATTATTATTAAAATGCACATTTACATACTATAGATTAAAAAATGAACTTTCAAATCAACCTGGTTATCATACTGAATTTATTAAATCGGCGTTGAGTAAAGATATTGGCTATTATGTGTGTTGCGGGACAGCCTACCTGATTTGTATTAAGTAGTTGATATATAGCCAGTTCAAATCGACAGGCTAACAGAGTACTTCTTTTGCTCACTCTGTAGCTAGTCACCGTGAAATCCCAGGTTTGAGACTTAGCAGTACAGGGAATTTTGTAGTGAGTTTAATGCTCTACCATGTGTAAAAGGATGATAACGAAGAAGATAAAAAAATTTGAATATGTAGTGCATAGAACCCAATCAGTAGCTTAATGTTGTGTTTATATTTCATTTCTATCAGTCACAGCAAACTTAAAAATTTATCATATGACTGAGGAATCTCTGATCGACAGATGAACTGATTATTATAGGGTTCTGTCGCCGCCAATTTAATTGTGAGGCCATATTAAATAATACATGCTTTTAACAGTTTAAAATATTATGAAAGGGGGTGGAGCACAAGTATATATATATTGTCTGGTATTAAAAGCTCTTGGTTGAAATTTTGAATGATACTAGGGCTGATATGGAAAAGTTCCAGGTAATTGTATATACATGTAAAATTACTAAAGTCACATGTACATTTTTGTACTTACAGATATAATTTAGAGCTGAGAGTGACATTTTGGGTAGAGCTACTGCTAGATACGTGTTGTTGTAAGTTTTGGTGTTTTGCTGGTGGATCACCACAGTATCCACAACTCATGGCATCTGATGCCACAAATTCTGTTAACTACCTTAATTATAAATGTTATTATCATGATTATGTAAATTCAACAGACATTGTAGAATGAAAACCCTTTTTTTTTTATAATACATACTGGCTGTAGAAAACGAATGTTTGTGGAAATTTAACAAATACAGTAGCATACTACCAATAGAAATGATTAGAATATTCATTCAAAGGTCACAACAAATCTGGAACTCACACCCAACAAGCTCTGAATGGCCCAGATATAAATATATATTCAATCAAGTGCATATATGTTGAGAAAGTAAATTTTACTTTTTTCCCACTTTAAAAAAAATGTTTAAAATACAATATTGTTGTGAGTGGAAGTTGGAGATGTTCACTTCTTTAATTTTGATGCTATTGTCACATTCCTCTCGTTTTAAATTGAAAATTTAACTGTCTCGAGATGTTCACTTCTTCTGATATGACTATTCAAATAATGGGGGATTTTTTTATTCTAAGCAGAAAAAAAAAATCATAGTTTTGTAAAAAAAATTTGTGGAAAATTTACCTACCCACTGTTAATTTAGAATAGTCAGATTCTAAATTAAGCTGCATATTTTTTGAAAAATGTATTCTACCATACATGTTAATTGTTTAATATTGCATGTATCATTTATTATAGTCAATAACATATTGTCATCTGTTTGGGCTCCTGTGTTGGCAATGAAATATGCTTATGTATTGTTTTGTTTACTTTATAACAGCAATATAGATACAGTTCACACATAGTAGCATTATTTTTTAGCTATCCAAATACATTGTAGCATGAAATGTAGCCACAACTTTGATCATGTTTTTTGTGCTTTAACATGGGACACACACTTTTTTACTAGGTAAAGTGCATGGGACAAGCATATTTTTATTCTGCCAGTAACCATGGGATCAAGAGAATTATTTCAGACAATTTTCTTTTTGCACCGGTCCCATGCATGAAGAAATTTTGACCGGTCCCTTAAAAGAACTTAAAAGAACCGGCTAAGTACTGCAAAAGACCGGAGGAGAACATCAAGGCTTACAATGAATTATAAACTTGCCAACGGGATGGTGAAAGTTGACACCAGTAATACTCTCATTCCACCAGATAGGCTATTCAGAAACATCAACACTAATGGATACCAAGTACCATCTTGTAGGACCGAAGTGCAGAAGGAATCTTTTTACCGGCCAAGGACGATACGAGACTGGCCTGAATTCCCTACTACATACTGCCACCAATGCAGGTAGTCTTGAATGCTTCAAGACTTACCTGCATGAGATGAACTAGATCAACGCCAAGATGTTTTTTTTTTTTTTTTTTTTTTTTAAATTCACTGTATATATATATGATGTATAGCACAATTCAAATCAATTCAATATTTTTTTTTTGTCTAAACTTTAAATGCGCATCCAAAAAGTAGAAGTAGAAGTAGAAGACCTAGCAAACCTAGAAGATTGGGCAAACAAACGCGGTAGGCGATTTAACTAAACAAAATGCTACATCCTAAGCATCAAAAATAAAAGCCAGAGATTCTACACACACAACGGCCACATACTCCAACAAGTCCAGAACAACCCATACCTAGGAGACCCGAGTGCAGATATCAGAAGATCTGAAGTGGAGCACGCATATTACAAATGTTGCAAAAAAGGCAAACTCAACCCTAGGCTTCCTCAGAGGGAACTTACGGTACTGCCCACAGGAATGAAAGAAAACTGCTTACATTTCTCTAGTACGTTCAACTATGGAATATGCAGCAACAGTATGGGGTCCTTACAGTATAGCAGATTCGAACAAGCTGGAAAGAATACAGCGGCAAGCAGCACGCTTCATAATAGGCGACTACAAAACAAGAGAAGATGACTGCGTAACAAACATGCTCACCAAATTGGAACTCCAAGAATTACAACACAGACGCACAAGCCAAAAACTTATATTTTTGTACAAGGTGGTTGAGGGGCTGGAATTCTTAAAATCATCAAGACTAAGACGAACCATCACAGCAAAAAAGTTTGACATTTACCAAGCAGCAAACGTAATTGAAAAACAATGAGAAACAATAATAGGTGTTTTGACATTCCCACCAGTAAAACACCGCAACATTCAAATTCAT